ATACTTTGCTTACGTCTGGGACAGAAAGAGTCTTCACTGGTTCTTGTAGAAAGCAAGGTTTCAAGCAGCGGTTTTTTTTTCCAAACGTGACAACTTTAAGATGGGTGGACTTCAACTCCCAGAACTCCCCAGCCACCCATCAGGAACCGGGAGTTCTAGGCCTGCCTTAGGCACGAAAGCCAGCTGGGTGACTTTGGACCAATCACCGGGAGGCTGAGAGTTCTAGTCCCGCCTTAGACAGGAAAGCCATCTGGGTGACTGGGCCAGTCCCTTTCCATCAGCCCAACCCACCTCACAGGGTTGTTGTATTAGAGAAAATAGGAGGAGGAAGGTGTGCTGGATATCTTTCTCGCCTTGAGTTATTTGGGAAATAATAAAGGTGGGAAGCAAACAAACAAATGAGCAATGTGTTCGTTTATTCATAAACACCCTTCTTGGAAAACACAGCCTTTTTATGTTGATCCTGGGAAGCCTCAGGTTCCCAGAAAAAAAAAAAGGATTGGCTGGTACAAGATTACAATGTAAGAAGAATATAATAATAATAATAATAATAATAATAATAATAATAATAATAATAATAATAATAATAATAATAATAATATCAAACATCCACATTTGCCTATCCCAGGTCCTGGGTAAGGACTCGATAGACAAAATGCCAAATCCAGTCTGAACATCTGGCTGACTGTGCAATGATCCATAATAATAATAATAATAATAATAATAATAATGCAGGGTAGGGTAGAGAAGAGAAGAGAAGAGAACAGAAGAGGAAGGAGAAGAGAAGGGAAGAGAAGAAGAAGGGAAGAGAAGAGAAAGGGAGGGAGGGAGGGAGGGAAGGAAGGAGAAAAGAAGAGAGAGAGGGAGGGAGGAGGAAAGAGAAGAGGGAGGGAAGGAGGGAAGGAAAGAGAAGAGAAGAATATTTTATTTGGCCAAGTGTGATTAGACATACAAGGAATTTGTCTCAGCTGCAGAAGCTCTCAATGTACCTGCAAAACAGACAAAACAATAATAAAAGAGGCAATGAATAGAAAATGTTGGCCTTAAACCGCCTCATTTCAACATACCTGGAGATGAAGAAATGCGGGAAAATACCAGCCTTTTCACTTCCTGCTTTCTGGCTTCTTCCGAGGTGTGAATTTGAAGCACTTTCCCGTCTTACCAGGGACCGGCGCAAAACCTGGTCCAGGATTTCAGATTCTTGGATGTGGGTCACACTGAGCCACAAAATGATTGTGTTTCAGGACAGTTCTGGGGTTTGGGTGGTGGGTGGGAGATTTCAATGACTTTTGCTTTCAAGGGGGGGGGACGGAGGGGGGTTGACAGAGGTTGCAAGGAACAGAAAGGGGGGGGGGGTTTGCAAAGAAATAATCTGATCCTCCCTTTCCAAGCCTCAAAGCCAAGGAGTCCCAGCTGAGGTTCCTCCATTAGACGTTGGCCGCTTTCACACGACCTGCTTCCCCGGGAGACTGACGTTTCCTGGCTTCGCACGTTATGCAAGGAATCCCGCGTTACCCGGGGAAAGGCCCGAGAGCAGCCATCGCACATTTGTCCCTCTCACTCCCCCACCGATGCAGCTGCCCTTAGCGAGGCCGGTCGGTTCGTGTGAATGCAACACGTGAGCAAAGCAGAGTACACACATACACAGGGAGAGAGCTGCACGGGGCGATCTTCTTTCTCCGAATCGTCCATTGCAGACAAAGGCCCAGATGCGATCGGGGCGTGGAGGTGGAGAAGGAGACACAGAAGAGAGTAGGGTTGTCTGGGGTTAGATACAAGGATGTGTGAAAGGAACTGGCTTCTGCCGATTTCTTAGGTCAGCTGATGCCCAGATCGTCGGCTGCCAACCTTTACGGTCCTGTGGTTGAGCTTGTCTGGCTTTGGAAGATAACGCCGGATCTCGTTAGAGCTTGGAAAGGTGACCACGAGGAAACGCCCGACTGGGTTTCAGATTCGAACCAACCGAGTCGCACCAAGATTGAAAGAAGACTCTACCGTCCCCTTAAAGTCACTTGGAGGGGTTCAGATTGCTCAGAAAACACGCGGGATTCCAAGGAGTCTTTATTTCTATGTGTGAATGTGCCTTTATCCACTCATTAAACGCGGAATGTAACACAGGAGCATTGGGAGAGACGCCTTAACCTGGTTCCCGAATCAACCTAGCTAGTTTTTGCCTTTGCAAACTGCCTTCGGCCATCCCCAAGCCAACAAAACGCAGAAAAGTTAGTCAAGGTTCAAATTACTCTGGCTGAGCCATTGAAATCTAAAATGTTGCTTTTCTCTCTGCCCTGATAAAGCCTGTGGTGAGAACGCGGACCCTAAACAAATGCGTGTCATTATCTAAAATCTGCCCACGTGGATAAAACCTATATTTTTTCACAATCCCTAAAAGGTAGGCATACTATATGCCTATTTCCATTCTTTAGCAACTGCTAGAAAGATTAAGGTCCCTGTTAGGGTTTGTATTTGTGGATTATATCTAAGGATGAAATATTATAATCAAATAATTACATACATTATTATTATTGTTGTTATTGTTATTGTTAAAATGAAAAGGGCAAAAATTATTTCTTGTTCAATAAAGTTAAGGCTAAAATTTCCATCATGGTGTAAGTTTTCCCGTGCTATGCCTGACATCAGATGCGCAATGTTATCCGAAGAGAAACTTATATTTTTTTTGCCTTTATTGTAAAGTAAGTTGCCCTGACTTAAAATAGGTATGTCCAGACATTATAATAGGAACTAACCCACCACTGCTCTACCAGTGTATCATTCCCATTTATTAATCTATATAGGGTTGACCAACAAAACAAAGAAAATCAACTAAATCCTAAATTTATGGATCAAGCCTTACTGAAATAACTTCAGCTAGAGTTGAAAAAACCTATGACTGTCACTCAATATCCATTTTGTCTGGTCAGATGAGGAATTCTGTCTAGTTCAAAAATGGACATATGTTGCCTACATTAAAGGCGAATCAAAGAAACGTTGTTGCTCCAAATTAATTTTATACATGGGACTTTAATTCCGGTCAGCTTCTTCTATGGGGCAAAGAACTTTGAGGAAAAAAATGTGGGGAGATTAAAACCAAGCTTTGAAATTGACCACCTCCGACTTTTTGCCTCTGTTAGCGAAAAGAATTCGGAAACCATCGCGCATTTAAAGACTTTGAGTCGAATCTACAATTTGAAATGTTAAAGAAATCTAAAATTGTCACCCGCCTGCGTTAAAAGCAGTCCCAAGGTTTTGCTTTATGTGTGTAACTATTTTAAAATCCAGCTACAGCTTATTTCAAGAACGACTTTACAACATCAAGATTGCATTCCTGCGGGTCATTCTTATTCCTGTTTTTTTTTAAGGGAATGGAGTTATTTAAAAAAAAAATATTACCGGGTTCGATTTGAAACAACAGTCCCAATTTTGGAAATAAATTTCCAGTTTTCCCAAAAACCTAACCCTGAAAAGTAGAGCGCTGGGCTCTCTGCTGCTAACGAAATGCATTTTCGAGGCAGTCGCTGGTGGGTTTTTAGGATCAAGTCCGAAAGAGCGACGCGACCAGATGGTTAAGCCTTCGCGCCGGTAGCAACAATAAAACGTTCCAGCGGTCTTTTTTTCTTTTAAATACCTTGCAAGAAATTAATAAAACTGAGAGGGCGGGGTGGGAGGAAGGATAATGTCTAGGAAAACTCAAAAACCGAAAAAGCAGTTTACAGAAGACTAAGATTTGGCGGTGGGGCCCGCGCAATGTTTAATTTCCAGCGCTATTTTTCCCGGATCTCTCGGTTGGGTGGAAAGAGCGTGTAAGGCGTTTCATACGAAGCCGGCCTACTTACTAGCGAGCAAACCCCGCTAAACTTCCAGGAGAACTAAGAAGACGGCGCTAAAGGGAACTTGGCAATCTTGGGTCTGGGATGCGACCCCTCCTGGATCAAGCGGGGCTTCCAGCGGGGTAAATATAGGATCAGGCTGCGCTGGGAGTATTTGCTGGGGAGGAAGCTAATTCATTCCTTCCAATCGGAACCCCCAGAAATTGGTGGAACCTTGACTGGAGTTGCTAAGGTTATCTCCGCCAAGTCAGGAATGCTAACCCAGACTATTGGGTGGCCTCCTCCTCCTCCTGCTCTTCTTTCCCTCCTCCTCCTCTTCCTCCTCCTCCTCCTCCTCCTCCTCTACCTCTTCTCCTCCTCCTCTTCCTCCTCCTGCTCCTGCTCTTCTTTCCCTCCTCCTCCTCCTCTTCTCCTTCCCTACTTTTCCTCCTTCTCTTCCTCCTCCTCCTCTACCTCTTCTCCTCCTCCTCCTCCTCCTTTTCCTCTTTCTTCCTCCTCCTCCTCCCCTCCTCCTCCTGCTCCTGTTCTTCTTTCCCTCCTCCTCCTCCTCCTCCTCCTCTCCTTCCCTGCTTCTCCTCCTTCTCTTCTCCTCCTCCTCCTCCTCTACCTCTCCTCCTCCTCCTCTTTCTTCCTTCTGCTCCTCCTACTCTTTCTCTTCCTCTTCTTTCCTCCTCCTCCTCCCCATCATAAATCATGATTATTCTTTATTGCAAAATTGCAACAAGGGAGATTTTTTCTTCTTCCCCCGGCTGCGTTTTTCCCACGCCCCCCCCCCCAGCAAAGGACGAAGGGGGGGGGCTCTTCTTTCCCACCGCAGCTCCCTCCACGCCGCGGGAAGAACCGGGCCGCTGCCATCCACCGGGCTCCCGCCTCCCCCTGGCGCCCGCCGGGCAAAGCCCGCTTCCCCGTCGCCGTCGCTGCAGCCGCCGCAGCAGCCGCAACCGAGAAGCGCGGCGCGCGCGCGCCCGCCCAGCGCCTTCTGCCCGGGACCCCAACGTTCTGCGTTCCATTGTTCGCCCTCGGCCAATCGGCTCCCGCCGCCGCCGCCTCGGCCAATCGCCTGCGAGGGCTGCCCGAGCGGCCCTCTGTGACGTCACCCCCGTCTTGCCCCCCCCTTTCGGGGGCTGAGTGGGTGGTCCGCGCCGTGCTGACGTCATGCTGCGTAGGGGAGACTCGCTCTGCTCTCCGGCCGGGCTGGCGGAGTTAGGCTGGAGCGGAGCAGCGGCCGGAGACGCCCCCCCCTCTTTTTATTCTATTATTATTATCATCCTTATTATTATTATTATTATTCCTCTTTTTTTCCTCTCCCCCCTTCTTTTTTTCTTCCCGCGTCCCAACTGTTGCCCGCACCTCCTTCTGCATGGTGGACATTATTTTCCCTTCCCCTTTTGGAGGCGCGATGGGGGATCACGCCAAAAGTAAGTCTTTTATTTCCTTCCCCCCCCCCGTCTCTCTCGCCCCTCGGACCCCGCGCTGGGAAGCTTTGGGGCGCACGGGGAAGAGTGGGGGGGGGCGCAAGGATGTCTTTGGGAGAGAAGGGGACGCTTCGGATGGACGGCTTGGGAAAAGGAGAGCGAGAGGTGCAAAAATAAGAGTTATTAATATGGTTAGTTTGGTTCGTCGCCCAGTCAGCCAGATGTTCGGACTTGATTTGGCATTTTTGTCCACCTAGTGAATCCTTTCCAAGGCAGATCTGGATGTTTGAGAGTGTTACAATTATTGCTGTTGCTGCTGCTGCTATTATTATTATTATTATTATTATTATTATTATTATTACTACTATTATTATTATTAATTATTATTTTGTTGTCACCATCATCTTCAGTTCGATTCACAGTCTGGGACTGGTAAAAACTTAACAGTTCAAGTCCTAACCAAGGACTTAAGAACTGTTAAGGTAACGTCTGAGTATATAGGCAGCTCCGAGGAGTAACGTGGTTTTCCGCAAAGAATATTCAGATCTAATAAGTTCAAAATTTCCATGCCTCAGTTGGGTGTTGCTCCCAAGGGCTCCTGTTACTATTGGTACAATCGCTCATTTCTACTTCTTCTTCTTCTTCTTCTTCTTCTTCTTCTTCTTCTTCTTCTTCTTCTTCTTCTTCTTCTTCTTCTTCTTCTTCTTCTTCTTCTTCTTCTTCTTCTTCTTCTTCTTATTCTTCTTCTTCTTATTATTATTATTATTATTATTACTATTACTATTACTATTACTATTATTATTATTATTATTATTATTATTATTATTATTATTATTATTCCTGCTACTGGGAGATCAATTCAGAGTGGGTTGCAAATCCTGGTGTCTTTCAGAAAGCGGTTTTCGTTCATCTTTCTAGTTTCCTCCTTTAATGTTGTTAATTGGGCTCGATTGCCCCCATAAGTGAGCCCCTCGCCAGAAAGTGTCCAAGGAAAAGGAGAGGATGATGATGATGATGAATCAAGGCGATGCTCTCTTCCCCCCCTCCCCTCTGCATCTTTTCATCGGAAAAATCTTCTCCACCGCTTCTGGGAAACGGGCCGAGGGAAAGAAACGGCTGGCGAAACGGCCAGGCCGACGTCGTCCTCCCGCTGCTTTTTCCTTCCCTCCCCCGGTTTCCCTTTTGGGGGGGGCTCGGCGACCCCCGTTCGGCCTTTTCGTTCGGCCGGGTCGGGCTTCTTCAGCCCAGCCGTTTTCCCCTCGCGAAGTTGTCCTGAGTGTCCTTTGCTGTTTTTCTTTCCCCCTTTTACCCCCCACCCCCCTCCCACCCTCCCCCCCCGGGCAGAGAAAGCCGGGACGGCCACGTGCGTGGGCTGCGGGAGCGAAATCCACGACCAGTACATCCTGAAGGTCTCGCCCGACCTGGAGTGGCACGCGGCCTGCCTGAAGTGCGCGGACTGCAGCCAGTACCTGGACGAGACCTGCACCTGCTTCGTGCGCGACGGGAAGACCTACTGTAAAAGAGATTACATCAGGTAGAAGAGCCCCCCCCTCTTTCTTTCTTTCTAAGCAGGGGACCCCCCCCCCTTTATTTGGAAGCTTCTCCCGGGGAGCTTTCCGCGGGCGAGCGTGGAGCCTTCCCCTGGGACTGTGGGCCTCTTTGGTTAGGGGGGGCTTTGGTCCCCGAAAGAGACTCGCCCCCCTCTGCTGCCCTCTCTCTCCCCACAGCGTTTAGTGGGAGTTTTTTTTGGGGGGGGATATAAAGGGGGGTCGCCGAAGGTGGAGCGACAGTGGCGCGTGGGCTTTGAAGCCCTGGTGGCCGGAAGTTCAGGACGCCTTGCCAGGGGAATCCTCTGTCACTCGCCCCCCCCATACACACACAGACACACACACACACACACACACACACACACACACACACAGACACACACACACACACACACTAAGGGCTCACCTGGAAGCCTTACTGTGAATTTCAAGGAGGGGGAGGAAGCCTGGCCTAGGCACACACATCCACGCGTGCCTTTGATAAAATTGGGGACACAAACCTTTGCACGCCCCCTTTCCCCTTTAAGGTCTCTCTGTAAAACTGTTGCACAAACGCCTACACACAATGTCTTTTATAAAGTTGGGGGCACAAACCTTTGCACGCCCGCTCCGCTACAGGCCTCCCTGCGAAATATCTGGGGAACCCTTACACAAAACACGCCCGCACGCTTGTATACAAACTTGCCTTCTAGACAACGGGGGGGCGCACACGCGTCCCGACACGCGCGTACACCCCCCCCCCCGTTTTAACCTGTCTGTAAAATTCGGATTGGAATCCTTTGCACGCGCACAGATCCACACGCGTAGGTAAACACGCAAGGCACACCTGCTTTCTTACAGACTTCGGGGAGGGGGGGAATCCTTGCACGCGGGCACCCACGCGCGCAAACACTGAGGCGGGGAAGGGAGGGGTCCACCCATTTGGGCATTTCTCCTCCTGATGTCGGGGGTCGTTTCTTTGGAAGCCAAGGGGGTTCTGCAGCTGGGCCTGTCGGTTTTTGTCCTCCCGTTTCGCTCCCGCCCCAGAGTTTCGCCTCGAAATCCGGCCAGCAGCTCCCACCCTCGGGCCGAGGAGAACAAAACGAGAAGGGCCTGCCCGGGAATGATATGAATGTGAATAATATTAAATGCAAAAGAAATATTACAACGAATCGTACCTATTAAAATTAATACTATTAATATTAGAGGCAACGAAAGAGGCACCGTGCCGGTGACGGCGGTGTGGTGTCCCCGTCCCTTCGCCGGGCGTAGCGCAGGCTGCGCGCCCGGAGACCCTGGCGGGGCCCGGGGAGGGCGGGGGAGCTCCGGGCCCGGCCCCCGAGGCGCTTCCAGGGCCGGGCCGGGCTTGACGGCCGCCCTCCCCCGCTGGCTCCGCAGGCTCTTCGGCACCAAGTGCGCCAGGTGCGCGGGCGGCTTCAGCAGCAGCGACCTGGTCATGCGCGCCCGCGGCCACGTCTACCACCTGGAGTGCTTCCGATGCGCCGTCTGCAGCCGGCAGCTCCTGCCCGGGGACGAGTTCGCGCTGCGCGACCGCGAGCTGCTCTGCCGCGCCGACCACCGCCTCCTGCGCGAGGGCGCCGCCTCGGCCGAGAGCCCCCCGCGCAGCCCCGGACACCTGCCGGGCGCCAGGCCGGGCCCGCTCCCGCTGCCAGGTAAGCCTCCCGCCCGCCCCCCCCCGCCCCCCGGCCGCCCTTCCCGAGGCAGCCCCCTCCCCGGAGAACTCAGTCGGTTCTCGGCAGGCCTCCCTCCCTCCCTTCCTTCCCTCTTCTTTCCCCTTTTCCCTTCCTTCCTTCCTTCCTTCCTTCCTTCCTTCCCTTTTCTCCCTCTTTTCCCTCCCTCCCTCCCTCCCTCCCTTTCTTTCTTTCTTTCTTTCTTTCTTTCTTCCTTTCTTTCTTCCTTCCCTCTTCTCCTCCTTTTCCCTCCCTCCCTCTTTCCCTCTCTCCCTTCACTCTTCTTCCCCCTTTTCCCTCCCTTCCTTCCTTCCTTCCTTCCTTCCTTCCCTCTTCTCCCCCTCCCCCCTCCCTCCCTCCCTCCCTTCCTTCCTTCCTTCCTTCCTCCCTTCGTTTGTTCCTTCCTTCCCTCCCTCTTTTCCCTCCCTTCCTTCCTCCCTTCACTCTTCCCTCCCTCCCTCCCTCGCTCCCTTCCTTCCCTCTTCTCCCTCTTTTCCCTCCCTCCCTTCCTTTCTTCCTCCCTTCCTATCTTCCTCCCTTCCCTCTTCTCCCCCCTTTCCCTCCCTCCCTCCTTTCCTTGGTAAGACTGGCGTCGGGGGCAGAAGAGAGCAGAAGGCATGGCTGACCCCTTTGCCTGTTCATGGCTGGTCACAAAGTCCTAATTTTCAAAGCTCTGGCCTCGGGGGAAATCTAGACCAACACCCCCTCTTTCCCCAAAACCTGATTCTTCCCCCCCCCCTTCTCCTTCGAGCTGTTCTTGCCAACATGTAAAAGGGAAAAAAGGGGGGGGGGCTTTTGTAAAACAGACAGGACTCACAAGGGGTTGCAGCAACGAAGCCCAATATTTCCCTTAATGAGTTAATGGAAAGCAGATCCTCCCAATGTCAAAATAACTGTGGGCAGCGGGTGTTTGGTAGATCCCTGGATTAGGCTAAAATGTCATTTTTGGACTGAAATCTCCCCTGGTTGCCTTCAAGCAAAAGAATTCTGGGAGCTTCCGGGTTTGGGGGAGGATCCCCAGGAATCCCTCTCTTCACTGACTCTCGATAAGAAGGGGATCCCAAATAAAATCAGTGTGGATCTTATTTAAATCTGGCACATTTTATCTTTCCCAACGCCCAAATCTACCAGCCCCAAACCAGCCCAAATATTCCTGTGGTGCTTGTTCTGGGTTCAGTTGCCGCCTCACCTGCGCTAAGCTCCTTTGCCTGTTCGCCCTTCGCTGCTTCTCGACGCTTCTGGGCCCCACGGGGGCATTTAGGATGTTGGAACCCGGGTGGCCAAGCGTGAATCTTGAAATCGATTGGAGGTGATGAGGCAAGAAGGAAGGGAGAAAAGAAAAGCGAGAAAACGAAGGGAGAAAAAGAAAAGAGAAGGAAGGGGAAAGGGAGGGAAAGAAAAAAGGAAAGAAAGGGAAGAGAAGGAAAGGAAAAGAAGGGAAGGAAAAAGAAAGGAAGGGAAGGAAAGGGGGAAAATTTCCTGAGAAAATGCCATTTTTCCTGTTTCTCCTAACCTCAAAGATCCGTTTGTCCGGGATTAGATTCTCTAGGGGCTTCGTTGCCTGGAGAATTTTACCCCCGCAGGCCTAAAACCTCGCAGGGTTTACTCGGAAGGAAACCCCTCGTGTTCCCTTAAAATGACCTTGCAGAGGCCTGGCCTGGCATCTTGCAAATAAATCCGTTTTAAACGCTCGCGTCCTGAATTCAGCCCCGCCAAGGGCCGAGGGGCAGCGGAAGCCTTATTCCAAACCTGCGGGGGGGGAATTGAGAAGCGGGCTTTGGAAAGGGGCAGGTGGGATTTTAAGGGGAGGGGTGGAGGGGAAATGGAGGAACCGGGGGGGGTCTCCTCCCTGTCGAAGAGTTGGGCGAACTGGAATTCGCCTCCTTTTGAATACAGCCACTCCTTGAATCACGCGCGATTCGTTTGGAAAAAGAGACTTTTTAAATCACTCGTACTATTTCGTAGTGGACAAGCGTGCCCACACGCGTGTGGGATAGTTACACACGTGCACGCACTCTCAATGGCAGAATACGGCCATTTGTTTAACGAGGGTTTTTTTTTTTTTTTTTTTTTAAAGGCGTTTTAAAGCAAAAATCTCCTTTTCAGTTTTTCTCCGAAGCGCTTATTGTTTTGGGTTTTTTTTCCCCCGCATTTTCTCTCCCTCGCTTCCGCCCCAATTTTTTACGCGGTCTGCTCGATATTTATCCTTCATTAATATTTTTTTTAAATGGCCTTTATTATTTTAAACCCCCCGACAGAGAAGGGACGGGGTTCCGGATTCCGCCCCGCCTTTCCGTGGCTTGCGAGTTTGAAAGCAAGGCGTTGGAAATGTGCGCAGGATAGAATAAAATAAAATATCAGAAGGATTTGGGGCTGAAATTGGTGGGGAGAGAATCTTTTTAGAGAGGAGGAATAATAATGTTAATTATAACCATCGCCATTATCAATAAAACCCCATAAATCTCTCTTCCAGGTAGGACGGAGAATTAATCCCAAGGAAAACGGCCTTTTTTTCCCTTTGCGTGGGGGCTCCCATGCGGCCTCTCAATCTCCCCCCCCCTTCCATTTTTGGGTCCGATCTTTGCCGTGGGACCATCCCGAGGCGGGTAACATACGAGGGTCCCCGCTTAGATCCGTGACTCCGATCTCACGACTGGCTGGATTCGGGTTTTTGCAAGAAAGGCCAGCAAATCCGTTTGCATCTCAAAACTGAACAGCTCCCAGTCAGTTTTCCTGCTGGGGAAAGATTTATTTTTCGGAGGGAAGGAATTGAGAACGGGGAAAGAGTCCAGTTCTGCAAGCCCCCCAAAGAAAAAAGTAAACTTTTCTTTCTCTTGCAAAAATGGAGAAGTTTACTTTCGCTTTTACTGTAGACTCGCTTTATTGCGCTGGGTGGAAAACAACTGGCTTTTTCGGATCCCTCTCTCTGAGCTTCAAATTTCTTTTTTCTTTTTTTGGGGAACGGGAGGTAATTTAAGTTCCTCACCGGCCAGTCGTCGGCTTTCCGACGGCTTCCCCAGTTCGTTCTCCCCGGCTCAGCCGCCTCTCCGTATTTCGAATAAAATGGGCCCTGGTTTTAGAATAAGCTGCTGCCCAGATGGAGACAGGAAAATTGTGTCTGCGTTTGGGTGTATTTCTCTTTTATTGCTGCACGCCCAGCAAAACGAAGACACCCCTCCGAACGTTAAAATAACAAGGGTTTTCTTTTATTATTTATTAGATTTATACACCGTCCATATCACTGTCAAGCGACCCTGGGCGACTTATGGCGTATTTAATTAGCGCTTATGATTAAGCTCCGGGTCAGGTTCACAAAGAAATAGGGATTAAAGGCGAGGGGACCACAACGCTAGCCTTTTTCAGCAGTAGAGGCGCCTTCCATGACTTTGGACCTAGTGGCCTACCTCGCAGGGCTGTCGTTGGTGAAAGAAAGGGGTCCGCTGGGCGTCTTGGCCTCCGGAGGAAAAGAGGGTTACTATTCTGGCCCGCAAATTAACATCGGGACGGAAAATAGTCTCCAAGAATCTGGGGATGGGAGGTTTTCCCCTCTGTTGGGGGGGAGGGTCTGCTCCCTTCTTTCTAGGGGCCGCCTCGCCCTCCCTCCCCGCCCCCTTTTCACGCCGGCCTGGACCACCCTCCTTCTTTCCGCAGACGCGGTGCCCGGGCGGCAGCCCTCGCTGCGTTCCCACGTGCACAAGCAGGCGGAGAAGACGACCCGGGTGCGGACGGTGCTGAACGAGAAGCAGCTTCACACGCTGCGCACCTGCTACGCGGCCAACCCGCGGCCGGACGCGCTGATGAAGGAGCAGCTGGTGGAGATGACCGGGCTGAGCCCACGCGTGATCCGCGTCTGGTTCCAGAACAAGCGCTGCAAAGACAAGAAAAAGTCCATCCTCATGAAACAGCTGCAGCAGCAGCAGCACAGCGACAAGGCAGTAAGTGGGCCAGTCGGGCCGAGCCTAGCCGGGCCAAAAAGCGTCTCTTCCCCTCTCCTGTCTCCCTGCTTGCATTGGCAGAGAAAGTGTCCTGGCCCACGAGCGAGCCAGCCCCATGAATCCGACAGGTGTCCCCCCCCAAACTCTCAGGACTACAATTCCAATTATGCCGGTGCCCCCCCCCCAGACCCTTGGGAGTACAGTTCCCACACTGCTGGAGGGGTCCCCCTTCCCAGATTCTCCCATAACATTGTGGGTTCCCTTTTCCCAGATTTTCAGGACTACAATTCCCATAATGCCAGCAGGTTTTCCCCTCCCAGACTCTTGGGACTACAGTTCCCATAAAGCCACTCTGGGGAGGGGGTGGACTCTTGATTTCCTCTCCTTTAAGGCAGCCGTTTTTCTTGCCTCCTCTCCTCTCACTTCTTTAGGAGTCCTGGTTTTGGGGGGGGGTAGGTGGGGCTTAAGGGGGGGCCATGAAGGGAATTTCAAGGTTCCTGTGGCCTCCCCTTGTGTTTGGCCACTGATGGAGGGGGGGGGAGATTAACCTCGGTCCCAGAATCCCTGTCCCATCATCCCCTGCCTTCTTCTGTCTGCAAAATCTAAAACAGGGGTTCTCAACCTTGGCAACTTTAAGACTTGTGGACTTCAACTCCCAGAATTCTGGGAGTTGAAGTCCACAAGTCTTAAAGTTGCCAAGGTTGAGAACCCCTGATCTAAAAAGTCAGGAATGGCTGCATTCCCATGAGATGCTGAAGGTCTTTAGGAAATGGTCCCCCCCCCTTATTTTTCCCAACTGGGGTAACATTTTGAGCCATCCAAGGAGGGCATGCCCCCCCCTTCCCCAGCAGAGAGACTCAAAGACAGAATGGCACCCCTGTTTTGGGGGGGAGGGGGATGGATTTGATGGGTCTTCAAGAGAGTAAGGGAAGCAAGGACTCAGGTGTTGGGGAGTTGGGTTTGGGAGGAGGTTGATTCTCCAAATCCTACAATTTGGAAACCAGAGGAAGGGGCATCACCTATGTCTGCAGCCTCGAGTTATTTATGAAAATAACAAAAGCGGGCTCAAATTCTAATCAACAATGTTAAATAAATACATGAATTAGAGCAAGGCCGTTTTTTTTTTTTTTTTTTTTTGCAAGCTGGGTATGATGGACCAGGACTGGAGAGGGAAAATTCTCAGGGTCAGGGCTTTTTGGATCTCAATTCCCTGGGGGAGGGGATTATCAACCAGTCCCACTGATCTGGAGTGAGCCCCATAGATTTGAGGCTACCATGTCAGGGTTCCAAAGTCTAAGACCTTGGCAATCCAGATATGGTAGCCCTGCCTTGCCCCACTGACTTCAGTGCAACTGACTCCTGTGCAGAAGCCTAGTAGGCCTTCTGCTCAGGGTGCAAATCTACTCAGCTCCCTAAAGCGGGTGCAGTTCCTCTTTGGGGCCTAAGCCCTAGTTACACATAGCTAGCATTGCACCGCAAAGAGTTCTTTACCATTAGGCTCTTAAGCTCAGCAATAATATTTATTTTTATTCGTGGCCATCCGCCAGCTGATATTTAAGCAATATTGATTTTTTTTTCCTGGCGCAGGATCAATAGTGTCTCATGCTATTGAAGGAGTAAAATCTGTCTGCAGGGAAAGGCAGGAAGATAATGATGGCAATAATAATAACAACAATAACAGCTGTAATAATTCATCCGGCTTCTTTGTAAAAACATCCACCCAAAGCAGCTACGATATCTTCTTTATATTTATTTCGTCTATAGAAAAGCAGAGGGATGATTTCAAATAAGCCTGTTTTGGGGGACTGTTTTTAATGCAAGCCAAATTTTTAATGTTTTTTTTTAAAGGACTTCTATCCCACCGCCCCCAAAATATGGATAGTTTAGCTGTGGTTTTGTTTGCTGTTTTTCCATCATGCTGCCTTCTGCTAAAAGTTATTTGATCTCTGCTGTAAATTCTGCAGAAGACATCTTGGCCCGCCTTCCAGATGTTCTGAGCTGCTTCGTTGAGAACCTTCGTGGTTGTGCCAGATGGGAAGGGAAAAAGGGATTGGGGGGGTGAAAGCAGAGGGGGGAAATAAGTGGGATTGGCTTATAGTGGGAGGGGGGGTCTTCTCATTTATCAGAATCAAATTACTTGATTGATTCCATAAATCAAAGGATGGGATGTACTTACTCCCATTGATGGCTGATGGAATGGAGCAGCTGGCAGATAGCAGGAAAAAAAAATCTTACATTGTCTTAAAAATTAATTTCAACTCCTCCCAGAAAAAGTCAAAAAAGGCAAGATGGCGACTTGCATAATCAGTGCTCTGCCCCTTTTCTGAGGTCTGACTTTAGTTTGGCCATATTTCAGTTTTTTACCTCCTTCTGTCTGGAAATAATATTGAGAGGGACTCCAGATAGATAGATAGATAGATAGATAGATAGATAGATAGATAGATAGATAGATAGATAGATGGATGGATAGCTAGATAGATAGTGCTGAAAAATTTGCATAAAAATACGACTCCTGGGCATGTCTATGGTACAAATAAAATACGAACACCAGGAGAGCATAAATATAAAAATATACTTTACTAAAAGCTGCCAAGCTTTCCAAACGAAAGCTTGGCAGCTTTTAGTAAAGTATATTTTTATATTTATACTCTCCTGGTGTTCGTATTTTATTTGTACCATAGATAGATAGATAGATAGATAGATAGATAGATAGATAGATAGATAGATAGATAGATAGATAGATAGATAGGAATTTAGTTTATCCAGAGTGGGAAGGTCTTTTTTTTTTTAAATCCACCCCTCAAATAATTTTCCATACCCCCAAACTGATTAAAAATAATCAGATGATTCTTTGTCCATAGGGACGTGGGATGTTCATCACTTCTATGCATTTCTATATACTTCTTCCCCAGCTCTTTAGAAGAAAATCTCTCTCTTTTTGCTTCTTTTTCTAATTAGGGGCATTATTATTAATAATAATCTCCCTCATTGGCAAATCACTTCTGGATTCTCTGGGCTGCTGGAAAGCTCTGCCCACCATCGAAAACACCCTTGACCATGTCCAAAGTTCTCAGCACTAAATTGCCAGTTATCCCTGCCTCTTCCCCCCCCCCCAATATGGATGTAGCGTTCCCAGATGCAGATTGCGAAATGTGGCTGAGGGTCATTTTTAAGCATCTCCTCCTCTGCAGCTACAATGGGGCAGTCCTTGTGCACTAATTCCACAGCTGATGTGTTGAGCTTAGGCGATAGGGAGGAGAAAGCTGGCTTAATTTCTGATTTGGGGCAAGAGACCCCCCAAATGCCATCATCCATGCCCCCCCCCAAGCTTTCTCCAATATGCTGTCTAGAGGGGCCAAATTAAACCTGAAAACAGACTGCAGAGAATGTGGGATCAGCTCTCTCACCACCTTTGACCTGGGTAGATTTGGCTGCATTCTGGCTGACCTTTTCTTCTCCCCCTTTCTCCCCTCCGGTCTCCCCCCAAGAGTTTGCAGGGCTTAACTGGGACGCCCGTGGTTGCTGGCAGCCCCATCCGCCACGACAGCGCCGTGCAAGGCAGCGCGGTAGAGGTGCAGACGTACCAACCCCCCTGGAAAGCTCTCAGCAATTTTGCTCTGCAGAGTGACTTGGATCAGCCTGCCTTCCAGCAACTGGTAAGAGCCTGAAAATCCACCCCATAACTAGAGGGCAGGGTGTGTGGGGAGGTGCCCTTTGTTGCATTGCTACCTTAATCATTCCACTCATCCCTAGGAATGGTTCCCTATCTCTGGCTGCATCAGTCCCCTCCCTGGATTCTTTATTAAGAAAAGTGGAAAATGGAGAAGAATCCTGTCCTCTTCTCCATCACTGCTGTTTCTCTCCCTCCCCCCCCAAAAAAAACCTCCCCAGGTCTGTGCATTTGAAATATGGGGCCCAGCCCTGGGAAGGACTCCCCCCTCCCACCCACCCCCAAGTTGTGTTTGGGAAGACAAAGGCGTCCCTCGTAAAATGCATGCGGCCTGTGAAATGATTTCAAGTGCAAAATATTTGTCAAAAGTTTGTCTGCATAAGGAGAGAGAGTTGGCTTTGCTTTGGGTGTGGGTGTGGATGAGAAAGGGAGAGAGACAAAAAAAACAACAACAACCCAACATCTAATTGGGCCTAATGGAGCAAAAAAAAAATTTTTTTTTAAATAACTTGATTCTGGTATGTGTGAGGTTGGAGAAAAGTGCCCGGGATGATTGGCAAGGGTGTAATGACACACCTGAAACAAGGCAAGCTGTCACCAACAAATATCCTTTTGCAAAACGTGCGTTAAAAGGCCCTGGTGCATGGCATGTGTCTTACAAATGAGAATAGATTGTCCTAAATTGCAAGGAAGGAGATAACCTTTGGGGTTGATCTTAAAAATAATAGCTCCTCTTTGGGGGCCAAAGAGCCCCGAAATACACACGCTTGGCCTCTGACATCTTTTAACAATTGCAATATAGGCACGTGAAAAAAAAATGCAAGATTTTGCAAAAGACTGAAGACTTTGGTCTCCCTTAAGATTAGGATTCATTTCAGGGAGCAGAATTTGAAATGTGTTAGGCCAAGGAGAAACAAGATCCCACCACTAGGCCAGACAGCTGGCTTAGCATAACCTGTATCTCTGGGTCTCCACCTTCGTAGTTCTCTTCCCAGATCATGAGAAGGGGGCTTCGCTTCCAGTATGGACTTTGGCATGTGCGTGTGTGTGTATGAGAGAGAGAGAGACAGACAACACGCCCCAACAGATGTTGCATGAAGCGATAAGTTACGATTTGGTGTCTTGAGCAAATCCAGAAGATGGATTGATCTCCAGTGCTGGCCAAGCATGTGGGGTTGGATGTAGTTTTGGTCCAGCTGTCAGCACTGACATTTGAATTGGCTGCAAAAATCTAGTTGGCTTCAGTGCCTGGAAGACCAGATGACTTTCTATTCCTTTATCGTTGGGGGGGGGGGGATTTATTTATTAAATGCTGCCCATCTCGGCCTGGGTCTAGTGAAAAAAATCTCTTGACCTGGTTGCCGAAGCCTAAAAAGCTGCCATGTCCTGCCATGCATACACCTTTGGGTGCATTTATCTCCAAAAAGTTGCAAATCACGTCCCCCCCCCCCCGGTTCTTCTCTCCCAATGTGCTGGATCTGCTTAGATTCAGCATAAGAAAATGCTTTCCAATTTTTTTCTTTTATTAACCAAAATCACTTGTCAGAAAGCCTTATCAAAATTCAGGGACCGACCTTCCGCAGCGTCGTAACTTTGATTGGTCGCTAAAGGAACGGTCATAACCTGAGGATTCCCTGTATTTATAAAAGCAATTTATGAAAGCAATATCCTTGAATGGTGTCTAGGTCATTTCGACATATTACGGCTGATCATTTCATTGCTTTTCCTCTTCATAGGAATACTTTGGGGGATTTTAAAATATATTTTCGTTTATAGGGCCATCTTTTAAGTCAATTTAAATGCCTCTGTTGCAATCGGTCATGGGCTGATGTGTTGTTATCCAAAGAAAAACCACTTTTACCTAATTTGGCGTAATTGACCCAGTTTTGGGAAGGACTGGCCTAAGGAATCTTCCTATGGATTAATTCACCTCCAGCCACAAACAAGGATGATTTGTCACAGTGTGGAAAGAAAATAAGTAGCCAGAATATGGATGCAAAAGTTTAGCCCAGGAGTGTCCAGTGTTGGCAACTTTAAGATTTGTGAACTTCCAACTCCCAGAATTCCCCAGTTAAGACCCTCAAAAAATACAAGGGCCTGGATTTTGATCACGCAACCATGGGGATGCGGGCACAGTTGTAAGAGCGAGGACCCGTCGTTTTTTAAACCCATTGTAATTTCAAACAGTCACGTTAACAAATGATTGTAAAATGAGGATGACCTGTACTCAATTAGGGTATTTTCTATCTGAAGACCCTCCTGATTTTCAGCCATTGAGACTGTCCGGAGGTGTACCCCATTTTTCTAACCTATCTCCCTACGTTGTTCCTTTTATTATTATTTTTTTACTCCTCCACAGCTCTCCATTTCTGAATCCGGCTCCTTAGGCAACTCATCAGGCAGCGACGTCACCTCTTTATCGTCCCAGCTCCCCGATACCCCCAACAGCATGGTTCCTAGTCCAGTGGAAACGTGAGAGCGTCTTTTGAACGCCTGACCTCAAGGACATTCTGCATGTTTTCTTTGCTTCTTGCATGAGAACTGAGCGCTACGGCAACACAACCTGTTAAATTATTCTCTTTATTTAAAAACCCGGCTCCATCTTGTCTTCTGTCGGACCGTCCGTGGCTGGAAGTCTTCCGGGGGTTCCCCTGACTTTGCCAAGCAGGGAGGGGGGGAAAAGGAGTCCAACTTCCCAGGAATTCTGGTCCTTCCTCCCCCCCTCAAATACCTCTGGATTATACTCGAATGAGACTCAGATCCTGGTCTTGTAGTTTTAGAAGATGGCTTTTTCCGTTTTCCTGTTATTTTTCCTCAACGGAAGGAAATCAACTCAACGTGGAATGGCGTAGGGCCATCCAGATGGACCCCAACATCTGTTGCCTTCATCTCAACCGGTTCTGGATGCCCATCGCCAACTCTCTTGTGGCTTCCTTCTTCCCAATTGCCTGGAAAAACCTGGAACTTTTTCTGTCTCCGTTTTTTTTGGGTGGTCCCAAAAGAGGAGATTTGTGTTCTTTTTTTCTCACTCTTTCTCTCTTCCTGAGCCCGCATGCTTGCTGGAAAAATTCCAGCAGGACTTGTGTGTCTGGTCCAAAACAACCCCCCCCCTTCCCCATTGCCAGTGTTAAATTATCTTGTGGATGGAAGGTGTGTGGTTCTTTCTCAGCCTTTGCAGACCAAAGTAAGTTATTGTTATTTATTATCGCGCAGCAGCAGTGGAGTTGAGAATTTGACCTCAAAAATAAAAGAACAAATATCGGATGAGAAAATCTGCCTATCGTTGTCTTCTATACCGTTTGACCTTCCTGGAAGTTAAGGGAGCTGTAGTTCCTTGGATGAACTTTGATTGCAGCTTTCCAGTCTCTTCGAACAGTTGATACCAAATCGTAAAGTTTAATTTGATAATAATTCCATTTGGTAGTAAAGCTGATATCTGGCTTCCGGTGCCTTTGCACAAATGGGCCCAGAATGTTTTTAGCAGCATAATCAAGTGCATGGTCACTTTTCCTGGCCACTGTCGTCTACTACTACTACTACTACTACTACTATTATTATTATTATTATTATTGATTTAATCTTCAATTCAATTCACCGTCTGGGACCAGTAAAAACTTAACACTTCAAGTCCTAACCAAGGACCTAAGAGCTGCTGCTACTATTACTACTACTACTACTACTACTACTACTACTACTACTACTACTACTACTACTATAATAATAATAATAATAATAATAATTATTATTATTATTATTATCTTAATCTTCAATATGATTCACAGTCTGGGACTGGTAAAAACTTAACACTTCAAGTCCTAACCAAGGACCTAAGAGCTGCTACTACTAACTACTACTACTACTAATTATTATTATTATTATTATTATTATTATTATTATTATTATTATTATCTTAATCTTCAATATGATTCACAGTCTGGGACTGGTAAAAACTTAACACTTCAAGTCCTAACCAAGGACCTAAGAGCTGCTGCTACTATTACTACTACTACTACTACTACTACTACTACTACTACTACTACTATAATAATAATAATAATAATTATTATTATTATTATTATTATTATCTTAATCTTCAATATGATTCACAGTCTGGGACTGGTAAAAACTTAACACTTCCAAGTCCTAACCAAGGACCTAAGAGCTGCTACTACTATTACTACTACTATATTATTATTATTATTATTATTATTATTATTTTAATCTTCAATATGATTCACAGTCTGGGACTGGTAAAAACTTAACACTTCAAGTCCTAACCAAGGACCTAAGGGCTATTAAGGTAACATCTGAGTACAGAGGCAGCTCTGAGTAAGGTGATTTTTTGCAAAGTCAGGATATCCAGGTTTAATAAGTTCAAAATTTCCATGTATCATGGCAGGCCTTTGGGTATTGCTCCAAGGGTTCCTGTTACTATTGGTACAACCATTAATTTCTTCCTCCACAAATGTTCAACTTCAATTTGCAGATCGCGAATATTCCGTTATTTCTTCTGGCTGTTATTATTTATTTGTTATTTTTTTCTAGCTCATTATTATTATTATTATTATTTGGTCTTATTGAGTCTCCCATCCAAATTATATTAAACTATATTCAGATCTGGACCCATCCAACATCTTGAGATCAGCCAGGTTTTGCCCCAGGTTGCTGCATAACTAAGAAGTCAAGTATAATGTGAACATATACAGGAAGGATTCATTAATTGGAGTTCCTTCGTTATATTTCATTTTGAGGATATTTATTTTCTTTAATTCAAAGCCAATGTAGAGTTTTCTCATGGCTTCACTTCTGTCCCACTTAGTCACTCCCTCAAAAAAAAAAAAGTACAATTCTATATCAAGAATGGTTCCATAAAATGTATAATTTGGCTGTTGGGCAAGGGAGAATTTACAAGACTTCACCAGCTTTCTCCATGGATGCAAAAATAGCCCAAATTCCGAAAAAAAAGTTTTCAAGGGCTGGGATTTGATCTCGCCAGGAGAAGACTGGCCTTCTCTAACGTCCTGGATGAACAGAAAAATACTTGCAATTCTTTGTGTTCAATTATCAGCACTCTTTTTTGAAATTGGACATTTCTCTGAAAATGGGGAGATTTCCTGCAAAAAAACGACACAGTGACATGTAGTGTGACTACAACAGCATCTGTCTGCCATCGTTAGCCCCAGTTTGTGAGCCTAAATTGTGAACCTGCTTATTTATCACCAATGATTTGTGCATTTGCCAATTGGATTAGGAGGCCAAATTATGTGTTCATCGCAATTTATTTATTTATTTGCAAATCAAATGCCCAGACCCTTGAATCATGGTTTCATTGAGGTGGTGTGTGTGTGTGTGTGTGTGTGTGTGTGTGTGTGTGTTTCAGTCACTCATGAATTTTGTAACTTCTGCATTGGGGCCTCTGTCATCTCTTCCAACTTGCATCTCTCTGTCATCTCTTCCAAAAAATGGAAAACTTTTAATTCCTTCCTTCCTTCTTTCTGTTTTTCCTCCCTTCCTTCCCTTCCTCCCTCTTACTTTTCCTTCCTTTTCCTTCCTTCTCTCTCCCTTTTTCTTTCCTTCCTTTCCTTTCTCTCCCTTTTCCTTTTCCTTTTCCTTCCTTCCTTCCTTCCTTCCTTCCTTCCTTCCTTCCTTCCTTCCTTCCTTCCTTCCTTCCTTCCTTCCTCCGTGCATCTGACTGTCAGGTGTGCTTGTTTGACACTTGTGACCTCTAGCTAAAAACCGGCTCACCCAAGAACTGCTCCGGCAGGTCAGCACTAACTTTCCCTTCTCCCTTACCGATCTGCGATTTTCTGGTGGTGTCCTGTCCTAAGAATAACCAAACCAGTAGACTTTGCCTACTTGAGTGACCTCTTCAGGGTTTTAGGCGGTTAGTTTCATGGCAGCAGCCCGGAAATGGTCAGCCACGACCCTTCTGGGCGGCTTGCCTTCCCACGACGAGGTTCAGGGCTCGGCAGAGGTGCAAAAAAACCCCTTTTAAACGCATTTAAAAGGGGCAGAGTTGTTGGGAATCGGATGCTGGGCGCTGCAGCTTCCTTCCTGGTTGGGGGTGTCTGTTTGCAGACAGAGAAGCATTGTGGGGGGCCGGGGGGCAAAAGGGTCCGGCCCGGGACCTTCCCTCGGCGAAGTTCACGTGCCCTTCCGACAACCGTGGAAGGCAGCCTTGTCTTCTGCCGGGGGGGGGGAACGGGGAACGGACGGATGGATTTCACCAGCTCATCCCCCTTAAATCACCTCGCCCGGAATCGGCGGAGCAAATTGCTCTCAATTAGTAGCTGAAGTGAACCCAACTGCCCTCCCCCCTCCAGCCGGGATCCTCCCCCTCCCCTCTCCGCGCCCCCCTCCCGGGGGGGGCAGGGATCTGATTTCACGGGAGATGTTTTAAGCCGGAGGCAAAATTGATGGCGAGAACAATGTAGATATTGATGGCTCTCTAGAGATGCCTCTGCAGGACGCGCCCCCCCCCACCCCCCCGGGCAGGTGTCGCGATCTGCGCCCCCCCCCCAACGAGCACACAATCACAGACAGACGCGCGCCTTTCTAGGATGCCCCAAAGCAGGGACTCCTGCTTGAGCAGGGGGCTGGACTAGAAGACCTCCAAGGTCCCTTCCAGCTGTGTTCTGAGACTGATTTTCTGATTCCTGCTCCTGGGCGAGGGTCTCCGGAAAGACTGGGTCTGGCTGGGGTGTGTGTGTGTGTGTGTGTGTGTGTGTGTGTGTGTGTGTGTGTGTGTGTTTCCACAGAGCCAGCGGGCGTCCAGGCCCTTCCTGCCTCCCCCTTTCCTCATGTAGCCGGGAGTTCCGCAGGGGAAAGGAGTTGCGGCGCCGGCGGGGAGCGAGGGCAGCGCAGCCGGGCGGGCGGGCGAAGCGCAGTCCCCGGGGAGCGCGATCCTTGATTAATTCGCCCGTCTAGACAGCGGCGGCGACGGCGGCGGCGGCTTATCGGCTCTGGCATCGCCTCTCCCAGCCAGACCGCGGCGGGGGAAGACGGGGGTTCCCCCCCCCCCCGGATCCGGGGATTGACCTGACTCCCACCGGAGGGGGAGCTTCCCCCCTGCCTCAGCCTGGCCAGGGGTCTCGGGGGTGATCTGGTAGGGCGTGGAGTTGGGGGGGGGGTCCAAGGCAGGAATAGCCCCAGGCTCTCAGCCACCCCCTCTCCAGGGGCACAATGCGGGGGGGGGGCGGCTGGCAGCTCCCATGAAAAGGGGGGAGCTCTTTTCAGGGCAAAACCCCCACCTTGCTAGCCAGGTAGAAGCTCTGAATAGGACTTTAGGCAAGGCTCTCAAAACTTTGGCAACTTTAAGCCCGGTGGTCTTCAATTCCCAGAATTCCCCAGCCAGCCCTGTCCGCAAGGCTGAAAGTTGTCAAAGTTGGGAGGATCCAGCTTAGCTTCTCCCCCATCAGTTTTTCTCCTAGGCCACCCTACTTTCACCCCAAAAAATCCCAATATTTTGGTGGGGGGTAGCAGCCTTTCTACATTAAGGAAAAAGATTTTGGGGCAAAGGATAAGCAGAAAAACCGTGCCCCCTCCCCAGAAGCCTTATGGAGTCGCTCTTCTGCACTGGCCTCGTTGAAATTTCAGCCACGGGGCAAATAGTTATAAATATGTAAGCTCTACATTCCACTTTTCCATGGGACAAGGATGCTCGGAAGTGTTCCTTTGTTGTTATTGTTGTTGTTAATTGCGAAGTCGTGTCCGACCCATCGCGATCCCATGGACAACGTTCCTCCAGGTCTTCCTGTCCTCTACCATCTTCTGGAGTCCATTTAAGCTCACGCCTGCTGCTTCAGTGACTCCATCCAGCCATCTCATTCTCTGTCGTCCCCTTCTTCTATTGCCCTCCATCTTTCCCAGCATCAGGCTCTTCTCCAGTGAGTCCTTCCTTCTCATTAGGTGGCCAAAGTCCTTGAGTTTCAGCTTCAGGATCTGGCCTTCTAAAGAGCAGTCGGGGTTGATCTCTTCTAGGACTGACCAGTTTGAACGCCTTACAGTCCAAGGGACTCACAGGAGTCTTCTCCAGCTAGCAGTAATTAAATGGAGGAAGAAACGGGACGGGACGTATTATACATCATTCAATGAGGTGCCACTAGAACAGGGGTAGGCAGAGCCAAGGTTGCCTACCCCTGCACTAGAATAAGTTGTTTCTGATCTTTGGACTGACAACTAGAGGTGGGGAGGGGGGCTGAGACCCATGGCACTTGCAATGGAGGTTTATTCCAGTTTGGGACTGGCCTCTCACAACCGTCTGCCTTTAAGATGCAGAGAAAGTCTTTCTGGAAAAGAATATGGGGGTCTCGGCCCCAACCCAATGTGCTAGTTTATCTGATCTTAGGAAAGAGTCAGTCCGTGTGAAATCACACTGTCTCCTCTGGGAAGAACAGTGACACCAATGATGAAGGAGAAGGAAAATGAAAAATGATCAAGAATGATCCCCAAAGAAGCATCTACCCCATTTTGGGCAATACAAGGCCATACTTGCTTTCTGAGGAGAACAACCTCTTTAGCAGGGCTTTTCAACCAGCGGTACAGGTACCACCTGTGGTACATTGGCACCTGGCAGGTGGTACGCGACCATCCTAGAAAAGTGGTAGTGGGGAGGGGCAGCACTGCACAAGCCTGAGTGAGAGATGGCTGGAGCTGCAGGGCTGTCAGGGCTCAACAGAAGCACCAGGATCAGCGCTTCTTTGGGGCTGTCAGGGCTCAGTGGAAATGCCAGGATCAGTGCCAGGCTCCAGCTGGAGCTCGGCACTGATCCTGACGCTTCTGCTGAGCCCAGAAGAAGCACCGATCAGCTGGAATGTTGCAGCGTCTCCAGGGTCTTGTGATTTACATTCAGATACTTGGCAACTGATTCATATTTATGACGGTCACAGTGTCCCAGGGTCATGTGAAGTGACCAAAACCTGATGCAACTACCCACCAGACGGGAGGAATAAAAACCAAACACCCCCACCCCACCCCCTGCTGCCAATCCTCAACAGAAATGGTCACAACAATGAAAACCTCGGACAGGAGGAAGAGCGCCGCCGGGCGGGCAGGCAGGTGTCTTGCTCGGCTGTGGCTCGGGGGGGGGCACTTTTTTCAGTGCCATTGTAACTTCGAATAGTCACTAAGCGAACTGTTGTAAGTCGAGGACTACCTGTACTTTATCACTTTTTTCCTTTTTTGGGGGGGGGTCGTCAAGTTTTTGACACCTTTCTAGGCAACTGGTGGTACTCGGATGTTGCCGTATCCTAAAAGTGGCACAATGGGTGAAAAGGTTGAAAAGCCCTGCTCTATAGGACTTACATTAGGTAGACCTTGCAGAAGGGCTTCCAGGAGAAACATCTGCCTGGGTTTGGTTCCTGACTCTGGAGGATGGGACACTTGTTATCTCAACACTACTTCTAGATAATCTCTTCCGGCGTGATGCTTCCAGATGTTTGGTCCTCAACACCTTTCACCCCTAGTTACCATGATTATTATAGGAACTCAAGTCCAACTCTTGAGGAGGGAGCAAACTGGAAAGGAGGGCTTATAGGATATCTGCTAGAAGAGAGGAAAATCCCTATTTATTTGGCCAAAAAAGCCTTCTGGGTAAACGTTAGATGTGGCAATCCGACTCTTTCAATTTAGTGCAGTGGTTCTCAACCTTTTTAATGCCGCGACCCCCAACCGGTCGTAAGTCGAGGACTACCCAACCGGTCGTAAGTCAAGGACTACTCAACAGGTGCAGCACCGTTTGCAGAATGGGATTTTTGGCGGGCTCAGCAGGGCAGAGACAGCCTGGACAATTCCTATTGGCTTTTGAAAGCCAATAGAATTAGACTCTATTCAAGAGAGTCTATTCTATTGGCTTTCAAAAGCCAATAGAATAAAAGGGAGTAGCTCAGCTAAGGAAAAGGGGGAAAAATGGCAGACTGCGTTGTTTGGTGACCTCTGTGAAGTGGTCGTTTGAGCCCAAATTGGGTCCCGACCCACAGGTTGAGAACCACTGATTTAGTGACTCCATTTTTGCAGGTATTTCTAGCCTTCACAAATGTCGATCAGAAGAAATATTCACGGGAAGAGACTGATGTGCAGAACACAAACAGAGGCCAACTACAGAATTCACAAGGGCAGAAAATAAGTCTATTCCTGAATTTATCACTGTGAGGAATAAGATAATCAGGAGTAAGAAGATCTGCTACATGTTATCTTAATCCCTGGAAATACTTCCTCAGGGGCGTATTTCATTTATTCCACTGATATCCTGTCTTTTTGTTCCAGAGCTCAAGGTGGCATTCATATTTTTTTTTTATACCAACAGGAGATGCTGAGGGTGGGATGAGACGGGGGGGGGTTCTTCCTGGTGGGAGTCTACCACTTTAACCCCTATTCTAAAAGCAATTCAGAATATGTACTTTGAACCTCACATAGATATACCACTTATATGGGCTGTTCCTGGTAGCATTGTTCCAATATTTGAGAAAGAGGAGAGGGTCAACTTATTTTCCAAAGCACCTGAAGGTGGGACAAGATGCAATGGATGGAAAGTAGTCAAGGAGAGAAGCAACCTAGAACTAAGAAGAAATTTCATGACAGAACAATTAATCAGCGGAACAACCTGCCTCCAGAAGTTGTGAATGCTCCAACATTGGAAGTTTTCAAGAGATTGGACAACCACTTTTTTGATATGGTAGATGGTTTCCTGATGGAATAGGGGGTTGGACTAGAAGATCTCCAAGGTCCCTTCCAACTCTGTCCTTCTGCCATTGCCTGACAATGAGAACAATTAATCAACAGAATGGCTTCTCTGCAGAAACTGTGGGTGTTCCAACACTGGACGCTTTTATGAAGAGAATGGACAGTCCTTTGTCCAGAATGATATAGAGCAGTGATGGAGAACCTTTTAGAGACCGAGTGCCCAAACTGCAACCCAAAACCCAGATAGGTATCGTTGGGTGCTGAGTGGGCATGCCCATTGGGTGGGTGTGGCCCATTGGGTGGGCATGGCTGCAGTGGTAACAGCAGACTGGGTGGGACTAAAAAATTCAATCAATCAATTCCAACTTTGCAAGATCTTTTTTTTCTCCCACGAAAATTTGAAATTGATAGATTGATTGAACCTTTTTGTTTTGCACACAGCGGTGGAGGCCTAAAGCGAAAAGATTTTATAAAACCCAGCTGAAGGCCCAGGATTGGGGTGATGCTGCGCGTGCCCACAGAGAGGGCTCTGCGTGCCGCCTGTGGCATGCGTGCCATAGGTTTGCTACCACGGATATAGAGTCTCCTTCTTGAGCAAGGGGTTGGACTAGAAGACCTCCAAGGTCGCTTCCAACTTTGTTATTCTGTTTCTTTAAGCTTCTGCATGAACCTGAAACCTTAAGAAAGGTTTCAAAGCAGTTCTACTTCTGTTTGTTAAAGCAGCAACATCTAAGAAGGCTTGGAGGCTCAATCATCTGAAAAAGAAAACAGAATCATATCATACTTTCAGTGCTGGCTTCTGAGAATGACGATAATTGATGGTGACACAAATACAATCCAACCTCACGTGTTCCAATATTTCTTTTAATGAACTTAGTGAAAATCACCACTTACAGAGAAGGAAAATGGCCATTATCAAAATGCCCGACGTTTGCAACATGCCCACAAAATTTAAAGTAAACCGGAACCGGTGCCCCAAATAATATTCTCACCTGGGGTTGAAATTCCTGTAGCTTATTATCTACATCGAGAACGTTGTGCTTCCTAAAAAACCGAAAACATTGGAAGCTCGGACAACAGTTGTCCAAAAAAACCCCTCTGCCAGACAACCAAACAACATAAATTGCTTTAGGAAAAAGTCTTAACAGGAGACCGGGAAAATATTACTGAAATGAAAAGAACAAACGTAGAAAACATTCATTGGTTGGTTTCTATTTAGAACAGTGTTTTTGTTTTTTTTTTCAAACTTGGCAACTTTAAGAGGTACGGACTTCAACTCCCAGAATTCCTCAGCCAGCCGTGAGTTGAAGTCCTCACTTCTTAAAGTTGCCAAGTTTGAAAAAAAAAACCCCCCACTGATTTAGAGGATAGTTTTAGCAGCATTACAAAATGCCAAATATTCTACTGTGTAGAAAAACAGGACACAAGGGTGAGTGACAAGGGGGTCTGCAGGATGTGGTCAAAAAAGCCAAGATGGGGCCCACAGACACAGATATAAAATCATGTGGCCATGATTGCCATTTTGACTTTTCTGACCTCCTGCGGGACAGCAGGGCTTTCTTCAATCTATCGTTCAGCTGGTTATGTCAAACTACAACACCCACATTAGTGAGAAAACGCTGGGAGTTATAATGCCAACTGGAGATGGCAGATTGCAGAAAGATATATACTCATAATAAAAGGATTATTTGTTTTTCCAAAACCATGAAACAGGATTTCAAAATATGTACAAGTCTTCCGACCGAAGTAGTGCAAATGATACGTTTTTTAATATATATATATATATACCTCTCTCTATGTATATTTATCTACAATATAGGCGTTGCCAAGATCGAAGAAATCTTTCCAACAGTCATCTTCAAGACAACCAACATTGCTCAACAAGGGGGAAAAAAACCGTCTTGGAAAAACAAAACAAAACAATTAAATAAATTATCCTTTTTTCTCTTTCTTCAAGAAAAACTGTCGGGCGTCTTCCCAGGTCTGCCGAGGGAACCTGTTTAACAGCTCCAAGTAATCTTGAGAACTGAAGAATGTTTCTGCCAAATGAAGAACACAGACTTACTTTAGAATTATGTTGGGATAATCCTCTGCTGGTTTTGGGGGTACCCCCCCCCAGATTTGTCTTACCTTGGAATCTATTTTCTGTTTTTTAAAAGAAGCTCAGTTAAAAAAAAAAAAGCGATTTAGCATTGGGTCAACTTTCTAAAACGCCACCGTGCGAGGTTTGAACACGAGACCACGGTTAATTTGATCGCCTGGATATTACTTACCCCTTTGTTGCGAAGGCTGGTTGTCTGTTTGGCCCGATCCTTGTGTAGAATCCTACAGAAACAAAAGCCAAATGTGGTCCAGGTTTGTCCGAAACACAATAACTGCCTGGATTTCCCAGCAAAAGCCAAAAATATATGCGAGCCGACTCGGAAAATGCTTCCTTTAATACAACGCTTTCCTCTTTAAAAGTTGTCAAAAGAGCCACGGTTGTGATAGGTTTTAGCAGGAGAAAAACTTTGAAGTACAAGTAAACTTGGCTTTTTTTTAAAAATGGCATTTTCTCCCCATTTCTAAAAATGAATACTTCTTTTCTTTTTTGAAGGGGTGTCATTATTATTATTTTCTGTTTCTCTGCATTTGGACAGTTCTGTGTTTTTGCATCCGTGTACATGCAACCTGATCGGATTCTCTCTGTTTGGCCCAATTCCCCATATGGTAAACATTTATTTTCCAGTCTAAGGGTTAGATTCTCACATTGGATCTTCGTTTCCCCCCCCCCCCAATGAAACAGGATGCTGGCCTTGGGAAGGCCCTCATTGTGTCTCCCCACCAGAGCACGCCACTGGAAATCCAAGTATCCGTGTAAATCTGTTTTTCATTTTGCAATAGCTGGGAGAAGAAAATAAACTCAGCTTTTTATGCAGCCTAATTGTTTGTTTATTTGTTTGATATTATTTTATTAGATTTTTATTTTAATTTTTTTAAAAAAAGAGAAATCCGCTTACTAAACAATTTCGACAGGCCAGAGGAAGCTAAGTTGTGTCTTCGGGTTACAGAACGAGAGAGGTTTATGTGAACAAAAATTTTAAAAAGATATCAATGCTAATTAAAATTAAGCTGGATTTGACTGAGGCTAGATTGCCCCGGTTTTTGAATGATGTAACTATATATATCGATTACTATACTGGTCAAAACAATAGTTCATTTTTCATGTAAGCAATCAAGGCTTTTGTTTTTTTATAACTTGCAGTAGCCAAAATCATTCACAGTTGCTAATTTGTGCTTTCAAAAGAGTTACAGAAGAAAACTTCCTCCATAAAAATGCATTTCATCCTTCCGTTGTTCATTTAATGGATCAGATCTCTTGGTTTTATGACCTGAGCCTTGTTTTTCATTTTTTGCTGCTATTGCGGTATATTTTTATGTATTTATTTACAATTTCACTCTCGAATATAAATATTGCCAAGTCTTGCAGAAACCGTTTTAAGTGGATGGGAAAAAACGTTTAAATCTTTCAACCATTTTACAGATTTGCAACAGGTTAAACACTACAAATTTGGAATGTGTCTGAAGGTTGATAGGAGCAATTAAATGTCTATGCATGGACATGTGCACATAAATAAACATTGCTTTGTACAAGCTGATTTTTAAAGTAGACTGCTGGCATGCCCAAAAAACGTGCATCCTTACACACATAAAAAAGAATGATTGTTTATGTAAACTGGAATTTCTGATCTAAACATTTAGCACAGCCGATATTTATTGCCACTAGCAACAGGATCTAAAGTTCATATCTGTAATTAAAAAAAATAAACCCTCCATTCTATTTAAATATTAGCAATGTTTACATTTTGGTATCAGTTGCATTATATTAAAACTAGATTTGTCTGTTGAATGGGATCATGGTATCTATTTCAGGAGCTTACCTGCATCTTAGGAAGTATCAGCTGTTCAAATTTTTAGCAGAATGAACTAGGCACATTTTAAGAAAAAACATCAGCCGATAGTTAGAGTATTCTCCAAAAATATTTAGCAAATTTTTATGAGATAAAACTTAGGACCATAAACAAGCCTTTCATTTGGGAAAAAATGGAAAACTTGTCATTCCTTTCTTCCTCCCTCCCTCTCCTTTTTCCTTCTTCCCTCCCTCTCCTTTTTCCTTCCTTCCTTCCTTCCTTCCTTCCTTCCTTCCTTCCTTCCTTCCTTCCTTCCTTCCTTCCTCTTTCAAATTAAAAATTACTACGCTTTTTTTAGGCAGAAATCTCTGTGTGATGACTTCACATCAACCAATGTTTACCTGAATGAAGGTGGCCAACAACACACAACTCATTTCTTGCTCCAGGATGATCTTGTTTTGTGGGTTATTGTAACAAGCGGCAATTAGTGTCGGAAAGAGGATTTTGATCAGTCGAGGGTCGCTGAAATACTGGAAAGGCAACTGACACAGCTTCTGCAGCACGGTGGGATGGCGGCCGGATTGCACAATCATCTGAAAAAGGCAGAGAGCACCACGTTACAGTCAGCTGTGCTGATAGATTTCCCTGATCGCCTGGAAAAGGAGTAAAATCAAGTTATGAAGCCAAGAAGCATTAATTAATAAAAACAACAAGAAACTATATTTTTTTTATTTTAAATATCAATTTCGGATTGCACCCTCCATCCAGCTACTACTACTTTTTTCTGGTACTTGCAAAACTACACAATAAGAATTTTACAGAAAATACGAACTTTGGAATTCTTCAGTAACAACACAAAAAGGCAAAAAAAAAAAAAAATACCTACACATACCTAGACAGGGAGAAAACACGTGTAAAATTGTAGTAACTGGTAAAAGATTAAGAAAAGTAGAGATTTTAGGGAAGAGCTGCTCCTAACAACTTGCTTTTCGGAACAACCAGAAAAGACAATGAAACACGTACAGCAGAGTTAGGATTCTGAGCAGTAGCTGAAAAAGATCCTCCCATTAGGTCTTTTTTGAAAAAAAAAAAAAAATCTGGATTTTTATTAATGCCTTTGACGGGATTGTTTAGATAAATGGAGCTGCTGTCAGGCAAGGCAAACTTTAAAGCAGAAGTTATGCTAAGCAACGCTCTTGCTGGTTTCTTCCAGGGAAAATTTCTTCATATTTAATTCCACATAATAAAGAAACGGTAGATGACATCAGCTTAGGCTCAGGGGACACTCAGGAAGATAATAGCCATCATAAAATTAATGATAGTAAGGAGGAGGAGGAGGAGGATGGTGACACGCAAAAGAACCGTTTGACCCACATAGGACTTTCTTGCCTCCAAGGAAACTCCTCCAATTGAGGACGGGGTAGCTTTTTCTAAGGTTGCGATTCAGAAAAAAACAATAACTGCACATTTAACAGGTATACACAGCAGGGCCAAGCTGTGCTCCAAATTAAAACCAGAAGGTCAAAAAGGAAAAGAGAGAGAGAAAGAGAAAGAAATGGTTAAGAGGCCAGAGGAACATAAATTACAGGGATTTACAAGTTTCAAAGAACTTTTAACAATTCGCTAAGAACACATTCTCGGTTCATAATGCAGTTCAGGTCAAGCACCCATCGACCAGCGCAATAGTTCACATTTTTTAGTTCAATAGCGAAAATGAAATTGAAAACCTTCCAGCGAATACAAAGAGGAACCCCTTAAGTCTTCTAAATCCAAATGGAATTTTAAATACACAGGCTGTGGGAGGGTCCACCCTCCGTGGGAGGCAGGCAGGGGCTGTGGCTTTGAATGGCACCCCTCCCTCCAAAAAGGCAGGGTTGCAACTGAGGTCCTAAAAGTCATTTTAATCAATATGGTCAGCTTCATCCAACGAGGTCCGTTCTTCCTGAGGTGTGCATTTCTTATTTTCATGAAAAACAAAACAACACAAAAATTGTGGGTTTAGAAAAAGCACTTTTGACAGATTTTTCAGTGGTTAAAATTACCCCCAGCAAACGTTCAAAACAAGCTGTTTATGTGGCCGCATACTTTGCGATGTTCACAAATGTTAATTCTGAAAACCCAACCTTTGCTTCTTTTTAAGTATCTTCCAAAAATAAAGCTGCTTACAAGGAAAATTTGTATTTCTATCTTATCCTTTACTAAGTCGTATCTAACCTTGGGATATAGAAGATTATCATTAACCAAGGGATACGGGGCTGTGTTGGTTATTCTACGTGTGCAAAAATTGTTCTTTGTCTGACTCAAGGAAGTAGAATTTAAAATAGCCGCTTAAAAATGCTTTTATTAATGTCTTTTTGTTTGAAGACCGCAAACTGCTTCCTTGCCACACAGCTGAGAGTGAGTGAAAAATAAGATTTGTTCTAGAAACAGTTGCCCATTGCTTCTCATTTCAGGAAAGACAAAACTGTTGAAAAACAATTTCGCTGACCGCTTTCACGGATGAGGAACACTAGCCAGCCTCACGACTGCAGGTGAAAGAGGTCTGACATTTTTAGAAATAAAAATAAGGCCACCCGTTGGGTTCCTGTAGAATCCTTCCAGAATCCCGAGAGAATCACTGGAAGAATTTTTCTGAATCTTGCATGCTGAGGAGCAGCAGAGAACAATTGGGAAAAAGACCGTTTCAAGAGGAATTTTGATTTTTTTTTTCCTAGTTAAACCAGCCTGACTTCAGAGGGTTGAGATGTGGACTCAACAGGCTATTTTGATCTTTGGTTTATAATACATTTCTTAACAAATGAAGGCTTGTAAGGGTTCTTGAAAAGGTCTACTCCCAAGTTAATGGAAAAGGCAACCAAAAGGCCAAATTCTTGGAAGATGCAGATATTAGGGAATAAAGCCTTATTTTATGCCTTGTATTTTATTGAATGAAAAGCAAGATTCCTAGTTAACACCACTGCCTGTTTTAACAAAACATGGAAGGTTTATTCCTGTGTTTTTCACATGGCTGGCTTAACTACCTGCAGATACTCGGTGGAACTCTCTCTACACTCTCTCTTTCGTTCCTTAAACACAACGCTGGTGTGAGAGTTGTTTTCGGATTACGGGACTTCTGGTTGGGGGCTTACACACCCTTTTTGTGGCAGACTCAGGGGCTAAGATAGTGCAATGTTGAGTTGGCACCTTGGCGAGATAAATTCAAGCTACTGCTTGTTGATACCTCCAAAATCACACTAGCTCGTTCACCAAACGTAAAGCCTCACCTTATACACAGCAATGAAACCTTTGATAGTCAACGTTTAAATATCATTAAGAGTGGGAAAAGCCATACATGAAGAAGGTGGCTCCATCAAGGACTGGAAAAAAGGAGGGATGTCCAACAAGGCAACTCTTGTGAGGAAAGCTGCCATGATCTGCTGCCAGAGAAGACCACTTCTTCCTGACCTCAGAAGAAGCCACCTTCTGGAGGAGTTTTGATTGATCAGCTCTGATGGCACCTCCCATCTGTTGTTTTCATCACATTTCTTCTTCTCCTCTTTCACTTCCTCCTTCTCTCTTGGAAGGCTTATTTGAACTTTAGGGTTTTTTCAGCTCTATGGGCAGGCAAAACCCTAACCTGTAGGAAGCTTCAGAGATATTTTATGGAACCTACACTACTGAACCCTGGCTTAATACGATGGAGAGGGTGAGGATTAAACTACCGGCTATGAAAGGGTATAGTTGGGGCTGAAGTGGACCTCCTTTAAAGCAAAATTCTTATCAACTTTTTGTTAACTCTTAAAGGTTTTCATTTTTCCACGTTTAATGCTTTTAATGCTCTAATTGTTTCATATTGTTGTTTTATGATATAAGCCGTCTGGAGTCTAGGACAGCGAGATGGGCAGCACATAAATTATATAAAAACAAAATAAAATAATAATAAAATAAAACAATAAAATAAAATAATAAAATAATAAAATAAAATAAATACAGGTAGTTCTTAACTTACAACAGCTCATTTAGTGACCATTCAAAGTTACAATGAGACTGATAAAAGTGACTTACGACCGTTTTTCATACTGACGACGCTGGCAGCCTCCCCTGTGGTCACGTGATCAAAATCCAGACGCTTGGCAACTGTCTCACAGTTATCACGGTTGCCGTGTCCCTGGGTCATGGGATCCCTTCTGACCAGCAAGGTCAATGGGGAAGACGGTTCCACTTAACAGTGACTTGCAGCGATTTGCTTAGTGACCGTGGCAAGAAAAGTCGTAAAATGGGGCATACCTCACATAACCAATGTCTCACTGAGCAACAGAATTTTGGGGCTCAACTGCGTCGACAATTACCCGTAAAAATAAAATCATAAAGAGCCGAGGTGGCGCAGCAGTTAGAGTGCAGTACTGCAGGCCACTTTAGCTGACTGTGTTCAGCAGGTCAGCGGTTCAAATCTCACCGGCTCAAGGTTGACTCAGCCTTCCATCCTTCCGGGGTAGGTAAAATGAGGACCCAGATTGTTGGGGGCAATGTAAATATATATATATATATACATTGCTTACTGGTGTACACCGCTTAGAGAGTGCTTGCACTTAAAGCGGTATATAAGTCTCATAAATAAATAAAATCATAAAAATAAAATCAAAGTAGGAACGGGCTGGTTTGCCTTGGATGGGTGTTCTTTACCGGGTCTGCATTCCCCCAGTAGGGTCAACCGCCTTAGGAATGCTGGGATTAAAAAGTTCTGGGAGACCCCGAAGGAGACCACACTCAAAATCTGATAAGGGGCTCCCTGGGGTGATAACTTGCATTGACTGACAGTTACAGGAACCCATCCTTTCCAAGCAAAAGGAACTGAGTTCCTGCGGTCTATGGTTTCTAAGAGCACAATGGGCCATTTAACCATTTAAATGCATTTGGGTGAGGTTATTTATAACTCCATAAAAAAAGAAACCCGTTCCTCCTCCTCGTGTGATGGAGCTCTGGAATGTACCTTCTCCGGCTCTCAAATTAGATCTGCATTATTTCTTTGCTACTCTATAAACAAATCCGGGGCTGTAACCGTTTAATCAGAAGGATATGTCATCTTGGGGGGGGGGGTGTCAAACTCTTTACCCATCTGTTTCTCAAAGATTTAACACTAGAAAGGCTTTGTGTTTTGGGGGGGTGGGTGAGGAAAGGAGGACCTTTTATTTTTTTGTAAGAATATTTATCAAGTTTCCTCCCCTATAATTTGGTGGACCTGCAGTTGGCTAGACCTTTAAAGGCTAACTCTTTCTCTTAAAGGAGTAATAGTGTTGGAAGGTGATCAATTTGACTTTAAAACGAAATTTTAAGAATGAATACAGAATAACTGAGATGGAAAGAACCTTGGAGGTCTTCTAAGCCCAGCTTCCTGGTCAAGCAGGAGACCCTATGTCAGTGGTGGCGAACCTATGGCACGGGTGCCAGAGGCAGCACTCAGAGCCTTCTCTGTGGGCACGTGCGCCGTCGCCCCAGTCCTAGGTCTTCAGCTGGGTTTTATAATACCTTTTTGCTTTAGGCCTCCGCTGCCATGTGCAAAAAAAAAAAAAAAAAAGTTCAATCAGTCAATTTCAACTTCTCGTGGGAAAAAAAGGATCTTGCAAAGTTGGAATTGACTGATTGAACTTTTTAGTCCCAACCAGTCTACCATTACCACTGCAGCCACGCCCACCCAATGGGCCACACCCACCCGGCACCCGACGATGCATAAGTGGGTTTTGGGTTGCAGTTTGGGCACTCGGCCTCTAAAAGGTTCGCCATCACTGCCCTATGTAATTCTGGGCAATGGCTGCCCAACCTCTTCTTAAATATGTAAAATTAATTGATGAGTTAATTATATCTTCTTTGCATTACATCTTCCCTCCCTTTTGTAAATCTGAGTGCAGTCCTGGGGTGACTCACTTAACTGTTACTTGCTTAGTGACAGAGGTCCCAGTCCCAACTATGGTTGTAAATTGAGGATTATCTTTAGTTCCTAAGTTGTAGCTAGGACCCTCAGCATTTTAAACAATTGCGGTAAAGACCATGTTCTCCCCTGCAATAAACTGGATTGTGTGAGATCATGATAGCAATAGCCCTTAGACTTATATACTGCTTCATAATGCTTTACAGTCGGTTTAAGCAGTTTACAGAGTCAGCATCTTGCCCTCAACAATTGGGATCCTCATTTTATGACCTTGGAAGGATGGAAGGCTGAGTCAACCTTGAGCTGGTCAGGATTGAACTGCTGGCAGTGGGCAAAATTAGCCAGCAATGTGGCATTCCAACCACTTCACCACGATGTATGGATGTATGGGTGGGTGGGTGGATAGAAGGAAGGAAGGACAATAGTACTTAGATTTATATACCGCTTCACAATGGTTTACAACCAGTTCAAGTGGTTTTACAGAGTCAGAATCTTGCTCCCCCAACCATCTGGGTCCTCATTTTACTAACCTCGGAAGGATTGACAGCTATCGTTCCCGCATTATGTCTAATCTTAAATGGTGTTGTCTGATCGACTTCTTACACGTGTACGAAAGATGTAACAAGAACCGGATCGAATGTATCCTTGCCTAAACTTTCACGGACCGCATCCACAGCTGCCGCTCAGCCCGGGATCCCAAACCTCAACGACAGCCGGCCCCGTGTATGTCAGAACTAAGCTAGCAAAATGACCATAACGGTGACACCTTTTAAACGTTGCCTAGATTGTCATCTTAATCCAATTAAAAAGAATAAACAAGCCTACATTGGAAACAGATAAACAAACTTTAAGCCAAAGGACGTATGACTAACAGATGTAAGTAAATCTAGAGCTGGAGGGTGGAGAGGGGGTCAAAGGGGTGGGTGGAGGGAAGATTTAGGAAGAGAGGAAAAAGGCTCACTTCCCTTGTCTGTCTGTAGACCTTCTTGTTACAAATGCAGACCGATTCCTTCCCTGCAAAGATTATTCTACAGGCGCCTTTTCATGCCGAGTTTAATGTGCTAATGCCATGGAAACAAAGGAGGGATCTGTAGAAGTGAATTATTTTCTGGCATCATATGATGGTGGTGGTCATCCTGTACATTCTGGCGGCGAACCACCAAGAGCTATTCCGCTCTGCAGGGCCCGCAAAACATCAGGCGCGCTTCTCAGCACCTGAATGGATCACTAAGGTGAATAGATTCTGAGAGAAGAGCGCTCAGGGTTGAACAGTGGGGTCTTTGATGCTCTCTGATTTGTGTTGTTTTCTTGAAGACGTTTCATGACCCAACTAGGTAACATCATCAGTGTTAGAGGGCTTTGCAGAGAGGAGGAGGAGGAGGAAGAGGAGGAGGAGATGGACTGTGTGGTCCTTTCGTGCTCTCTGAGCTTGGTGGTTTTCTTGCAGGCGTTTCATGACCCAACTAGGTAACATCATCAGTGCTAGAGGGGTTTGCAGAGAGAAGGAGGAAGAGGAAGAGGAGGAGATGGACTGTGTGGTCCTTTCGTGCTCTCTGAGCTTGGTGGTTTTCTTGCAGACGTTTCATGACCCAACTAGGTAACATCATCAGTGCTAAAGGGGTTTGCAAGAGCCTGTGTGGTCCTTGGTGCTCTCTGAGTTTGGCTGTTTTTCTGCAGGTATTTCACGACCCAACTAAGGAACATCATCCGTACTTGATGATGGCCATCCCCATCACAGCACCATGAACACCGTCAGAGAACTGACGATGTTACCTAGTTGGGTAACGAAACATTTGCAAGAAAACAACCCAGTTCAAAGAGCCCCAGGGACCCCAGAAATAAACGGATTCCTCCTTTGCATGAAATCCTTGGCCAAAACTGGATCGACTGCCTGATTAGCAAATCCCTCTTTTCAGGTAGTTTATAACAGGGGTCCTCAACCCAGGTCAAATTCACGTCCCAAGTTAGGTTGAGCCAGAAAGCAAGAGGCATGACCTGGGCGAGACAGGTTCAGACCATCTCCCAAAGCAAAACTTAACAACAACAACAACGTTGGAAGGGACCTTGGAGGTCATCTAGTCCAACCCCCTGCTCAGGCAGGAAACCCTATACCATTTCAGACAAGACTTAAAACCTGGGACCTCAGGACCTAACCTAAAGGCTGGGCCCGGTCTGCGGGTTTGACTCATAGCCCAACCTGGAGTGGCTCAAGACCCATCTTGATTCAAAGGGATCTGGTTTAGAGAACCGGGGCAAAAAAACCATTCAGGCAATTCTCAACTTAAGCCCCATCACTTAGTGACTGTTTGAAGTTACGGCAGGTCTACCTGGAGGCTATTTATGACCTGGATTCAAAATTCCCATAGTTGTTCCCCGCCCCCCCCCCCCAGTCACGTGCCATGAACACTGCCACATTTATTAACAATCATGTGACTTTTTGCCCCAAACCGGCAGCTACGTCCGGCTTGGGCAAATTGGTGACCACCGTCAAACGTCAAGCACCCACCGGTTTGTTTAATGACCGCCGTGTTCAATGAACAATGGTCGCAAAAAGGTCGTAAAACGGCTCAGACCCAATTTACCCAAATGACAGACCCAATTTACGACTGCTACAACGGCATGGACTACGACCAGCATGCTCCATTATGGTCAAGGACTACTGTTGCACTTGTTTAGTGACGAATGGACACTAAAAGATGATTAACAAGCACAAGTATCATAATGACAAGAACGACCCTCCCCTCATCTTGTATCTTGCATTGACGCAGCTCCGGCACGGCCTTAGCTGAAAAGGAATCATTTCTTTAAAAGAAACAAGTGGATATTTAAAAGCACTTTCTCCAAGCCGCTCATATTAAGCTGATCTTAGAACAAGGAAAGGGTTTCCAATTGTAACGTTTGCTTCTGAGATCCAGATGCCTTTCAGTTCATAAAGGGGCAAAAATTGTAAAACCGTTGGTAAATACATGCCCAATATTATGCTGTCTGAGTTATAATTTGGAACACTGGGAGACAAATGGCCGGTGCATTGTATATATAAAAAAAAAATATGCAAAGGTTTTTTTCTTTCTTTGCTCTTTTTAGAAATTCCCAGTGCAAAACAAACTCATTTGTCATTCATGTTAATTTAATTATCGGACCCCTTTCAACTGTCCAATTTAAAATGCAAATGTGCTCAAAAGTTGCCAGCCACCACGGGGGTTTACTAATTAGATCAGAGAGCAAGATGCAAGGAGCCTGCTAATTAACAGCAATACTTTTAATTAAGAAACGGCGACTCTTTTGTGAAGCCCTCAATTGGCTTTGTCGTTTATAAGTGGGGCTGAAGGATTTGTTCTCCTTCCCCAGGATTCCCTTCAGTGCCCATCCGTGGTATCGTGGGAGCTGTTAAGCTGACGGATGAGTGATGAAATGGGCTAACAAATAGGGAGGGAGGGATATTTTTGTGGGATAGGGGTAGTTCTCCCCCAGGGAATAAAAGGAGGCTAAATCTCTTTCGGCCCCCCAAAAACTATATAAATGAAAGCTCAGATCATGAAGTTCCCACCAAATGGAGCCCCTGGCCAGGAGTTACGGAGAGGTGACCAGGCCATGGAGAGGAGAACGTTCCCAGTTGTTGCATATCCAAGTAGAAGGTCTGTGGTGATTGTCCATCATCCAGGTCAGGCTTTTCGGTGGTTTTCCTTCTTTGAAAACGTTTCGCTTCTCATCCCTGAAGCTTCTTCAGTTCGGAACTGAAGAGGCTTCTTGGATGGGAAGTGACAGGTTTTCAAGGGAAAAAACCTGAGAAAGTCCAGTTGCCTTTTGGAAAAGCATCTTTGGGATGTCCAGGCTGGATTGTAAAAACAACATTTTATGTCCCTGGACGGCCGATTCCAGAAAGGCTTATCAGAGCAAGGGTGTGCCTAGTTTGTTATGCTGGTTATGGCAAATACAACCCATCTCTTTTTGATCAGAATGTGACAAATTAATCTGCTTTGGATGCAAAAAGCGGTGAAGGTAGTCCTGAACTTACGACGAGTTGCTTAGTTACAACAATTCAAAGTTACAACGGAACTATCCTGGGGGCTTCTTACAACTCGGATTTGCAGTTCTGACAGTTGTCCCCGCCACCCATGGTCATGTGACCCAACTTCAGACGTTCAGCAACCAGGCTGCATTTATAGTGTCCTGTAGTCACATGACCACGTTATACCTTGGTTTTGTTGAAAACTGGCACTGATTACCAGTTTTCAGTCAAACTGCCTGCTGGCTGAGGAATTCTGGGAGATGAAGTCCACACATGTTCAAGGTTGGGAAACACTGGGCTGAAAACTTCTAAACAGTCCTCCATACCTGGTTGTCTGGATGGTTGACAGTGAAGTAGCCCACACAGACAATGACTTCGTGAAGCAGCACTTCGCAGGTGTGGTGGGAACAGTGCCAGAGCAGGGAGCTGATGATGTGCCGAAATGCCAGGGAGAGACCTTCAGCGCCAACCACAGACTGGAGGGAAAGGAGAGAAATCTTAGAGGCATCTTCTACAAACATCTGACTGAATCCAAAGATTGATGTGAAGTCTTGTTTTTTTAAAATAGGTTAAGCCTATTTTTTACCTTTTTTAAACAGGCTAAACTACCTAAAGCCTTTTTCGATATGAAAGAAGATTGGGAATTGAGAGACTATTGGCGTGAACGTAATCAAGAAGAAAAGGATTTTACGTTTTTCTCAGATAGACATCAATCTTTTTCAAGAATTGATTTCTTTTTGATTACAACAGATTTATACAACAGGGTAAAGAATGTAAAAATTTTTCCTAGGACACTGTCCGATCATAGTCCAGTTTGGATGGAACTGTTTGCAGAGAAGGAAGACAGGAGATCCTGGAGGGTGAATGAGAACTTATTTAAAAAAGAAAAAAATGTTCACAAATTAAAGGAATGTTTAAAGGAATATTTTACTTTAAATATGAATAAGGGAACATCAATGTCAATGGTGTGGGATGCAAGTAAGGCTTTCATGCGTGGTATTTTGATAAAAATGAATAATTTGCATAGACAGGAACAGACTCAGAAACGGAAAGACTTGGAAGAGGAGATTAAATTAAAAGAGAAATCTTTAATTTCAAATCCCTCAGATGAAAAGGTTAAAGGAGCTTTAAAATTGTTAAAAACACAATTTAATATGCTGATGGCTGATCAAGCTGCAACCAATTTGCTATTTATGAAACAAAATACATTTTGTAATGCTAATAAACCAGGGAGATGGTTGGCCTATCAGTTAAGAAAAAAACAGAAACAGAGGAATATAGATAAAATAAATTATAATGGTAAATTGGTTTATCAGAAAGAATTGATTAAGAAATCTTTTTTAGAATATTATCAAAAATTATATAAGGGTTTTAATATTCAAACTACAGACATAAATAATTATTTAGGCAAAGTTAATTTTCCTAAATTAACAGAAGATCAGGGAAAAAAGATTAACGGTTTAATTACTAAGGAAGAAATTGTTACAGCTATTAAACAATTAAAATTGGGCAAAGCGCCGGGTACGGACGGGTTGACATCTATTTATTATAAAACTTTAGTAGAAGAGATGATTCAACCGTTGTGTGAACTGTTTAATAAGTTATTACAGGGGTTAGAAATCCCTCCATCCTGGCGTAATGCATTTATATCTCTGATTCCAAAAGATAGTCAGGATCTCACTTTGCCTAAAAATTATAGGCCTATATCTCTTTTAAATGTGGATTATAAAATTTTTGCAAAAATCTTAGCTAATAGGCTTATGGGGATCTTGCAGCAGCTTATACACAGGGATCAATCGGGTTTCATAACTGGAAGGTACATGAAGAATAATGTTAGACAAATTATTAACTTACTAGAGTATTTAGAAAAGAATAACCAAGTCCCTGCAGGTCTGATATTTTTGGATGCTGAAAAAGCCTTTGACCAAGTGAATTGGCAGTTTATGTTGTGTTTAATTAAGGAGATGAACTTCGGACAAAATATATTACAAGTATTATCCAACATATATCAAAAACAGACTGCTCAAATTATTGTAAATGGGGGTTTGTCAGAGGCTTTTGTAATAGAAAAGGGAACAAGACAGGGATGCCCGTTATCCCCGTTATTGTTTGTTTTAACATTGGAAATTTTGTTGATTAAAATTCGGGAGTCTCAAGAAATAAAAGGAATAGAAATTAATAAAAAAGAATATAAACTAAGAGCCTTTGCAGATGACTTGGTTGTTACTTTGTCTCAACCTGTTTCCTCGGTGGTGAAATTATTACAATTGATTCAACAATATGGATGTGTTTCTGGTTTTAAAATTAATAATAATAAGACTAAAATATTAGCTAAAAATATGACTAATGGTGATAAACAGGCTTTAGTTAACTTAACAGATTTTGAAATTGTTGATAAGGTAAAATATTTGGGGGTTACACTATCTGTTTCTAATGTAAAATTGTACAAAAATAACTATGAAAAGCTGTGGATGGAGGTACAGAAGGATTTAAAAAATTGGAATAATTTACAGTTATCCCTTTTGGGTAGAATTGCAGTTATTAAAATGAATGTCCTGCCAAAGTTTATTTTTCTATTTCAAATGCTACCTGTTTTAAAGAACGAACGTAACTTAGATGAATGGCAAAAAGGTATTAATAAATTTGTTTGGGCAGGGAAGAAACCAAGGGTGAAACTTAAAATAATGCAAGATTTTCGTGAGAGAGGTGGACTCAAGGTGCCAAATATGAAATTGTATTATGATGCTGTAGTACTGACTTTGATTAGCGACTGGGTGAATTTAACAAATATAGAAATACTTCATTTGGAAGGCTGGGACCTACTTTTTGGATGGCATGCCTATTTAATATTTAATAAAAAAGTGGATTGGGTTTTTAAGTCTCATATTATAAGAATCTCTTTGTTAAGAGTGTGGAGAAAGTATTATAAAAGTGACTTCAAAATACCATTATGGGCTATACCTCGGCATGCCATAGAAGGTATAAGGAAAGGGGTAAATATGGATAAGGTCTCTTATGCACAGTTACTAAGATGGGATGGCCAAGACTGTCAGTTAAAATCTTTGGAAGAATTAACACATGAAAATTTAACTTATTCATGGTTCCAATATAGACAAATAGTGGATAGATGGAAGATGGATGGTAAAATGGGCTGGCTTAGAGAAGATGGAATTTTTTTAAAAGAAGTAAGAGACCAAAGGCCAACCCATATTAAGAGAGTTTATGGGGTTTTAGTGGAATTAGATTCAGAACCTGAATTAGTTAAAGATTGTATGATTAAATGGGCACAGAATATTGGTGAAACGATTTCAATGGATATTTGGGAACTTATTTGGATAAGAAATGTTAAATTCACACAAGCGCAAAATTTAAGAGAGAATTTTTATAAGATGTTTTATAGATGGCACCTTGACCCAAAGAAAATGTCCATTATGTACCCTAATCTACAGCCGAAATGTTGGAGATGTGGATACTTGGATGCTACCTATTATCATATTTGGTGGACCTGTAAGCATATAAAAGCTTTTTGGATTAAGATATGGTGGAATATTCAAAGAATTTTTAAAAGGAGGGTAAAATTTACGCCGCAATTATTTTTATTAGGTATTGTTATTGACTGTGATGCTAAAGAGGTTACATTGATGTTAAATTTGATTACAGCCGCTAGGCTATTAATAGGACAATATTGGAAGAAGGAATCTTTGCCTACTTTACAAGAATGGTTTTACAAAGTTTCGTATTTGGCAGAAATGGCAAAGATTTCGGCTTTCTTAAAGGAGCAATCTCAAGAAAAATTTTTTGCGGTATGGGAAAAATGGATAAATTTCATACAATATAACTTGGATATGGAAAAATATTATTTAGCTTTCTCATAATTTGTAATGAATGCTATTTCTTTCTTTCTTTCTTCTTTTTCCTTTTTATATATATATAATTTTTATGTATTATTATTCATATATATTTTTCGTCTATTTTCTTCCTTTTTCTTTCTCTCTCTCTTTTCTTTTTTTCATTTTTTTATTTTTTTTTTTTTTTTTTTTTTTTTTTTTTTTTTTTTTTTTCTTCTTAGTATATATTACTGATTTTAAAGTTTATGTTATGCATATTATTATTATATATATTATTATTGTGATTTTTAATCATTATTATTAACTATTTTATAAATTGTAAATGTTATTTTTAAAAAAATTTGTTAAATAATCCTATATCCAGTTCTGGGAAGTCGGGGGGGGGTGGGGTGGTTGGGGAGGGGGGGGGTGGATTTTTATTTGTAAAACTTTTGAAAAATTTTAATAAAAAAAAAAAAAAAAAAAAAAAAAAATAGGTTAAGCCTGTTTGGGGCCTACTCTCCATTTTGGGTGGGGGGGATTTCCATCTAATGTGCCCCCCAAAAGAAGTTATGGATGGTGTGGGCAATTGGGGAGGATCTTGCCAATAGCAAGAGGACTTGGTATCTCAGGTGGCATTGGATTTCCAAATTAAGAATCTGTAAAATCAAGAAATAGAAGAGAATCCTGTCAAGTCTAAGTCCAAGTCAAGTCAAACCAAGTCAAGACAAGTCAAGTGAAGAAAGTCAAATCAAGTCAAGTCAAGCCAAGCCAAGTCAGGTCAAGTGAAGACAAGTCAAGTGAAGACAAGTCAAGTGAAGAAAGTCAAACCAAGTCAAATCAAGCCAAGCTAAGTAAGGTCAAGTGAAGACAAGTCAAATGAAGACAAGTCAAGTGAAGACAAGTGAAGACAAGTCAAGTCACATCTTTATTATAGTCTTAAACGAGCACTCCTTTCAATATATATATTCCCTTTTCATCCCAACATTCCTTAAATGGTTTGATTGAAAATCTACCCACAGATTATAAAACAGCTTCCTACCCCACAGCTTAATCAAAGCCATTTATTACTATTGGAAGTGACTTCATTCCCAAAGCTATTTTCCAGTGGGAATAAAATCAGTATTAATCAAGGACAAAAAGCATGTTGAATTTCAAATAGGGGCCCTAAACAGACAGGCAAATGTGTATGTGTGCGCTGAACACAAGCCAAGATCAATTGATGTTCTCATCCAGGCAACTCCGGCTTGTTTTAATGAAGCCCAAACAGATGCAACTCAAATACACTGGGGTTTACTCCTGCCCTTGTCTCTTTTCCCCTTCTTGGGACAGTCCTGCTATGAGCAATTTCAAATCCCTCGGTGGCAAGGAGTGACTCCATGAAGCCAGAGTGCATTACTTTTGCTTGCCGTTCCTATCAGCTCATTAAACCGACACACTCTACCACTCAAGCTGGGTTCCTACTACTTGATAGCTTTGAACACTCTGTGCAGTTGGTCCCTCCCTGGTCTTTGAGACCTGGCTATGTCTCCGTAGCTAGGTTATTGGCCTGGCTGCTTTTCAACGGCCAATCAAGTCAAGTGTACAGGCTGACACAACCTCCCAGCCACCATGGGTTGAAGGCAGCTTGACGGATGGGCTGCAACTGCCTCTGTAAACTTGCCTCGACCATGCTTGTTCTGCCCTCCCCGTTTGCACGACTCCAAATGTATTCTTCCCCCTCCCTGCCTCGGTCACCCACTTGCAAAGAGCAACCCTTTAAAATGTCATTGTTTGTCAAGTTATAAGCAAAGGCAAAAAGTCCTGGCTAGCTGAGGAGTTTAATGTGTGTTGGATGTGGGAGGAGGAGAAACGGGCAGGCAGGTTACGGCAGAGGGATTCGGGATAAGGCGGCTTTATCGGTGCAGCCCGGAGGCTCTATTTAATAAACATGTCATCCAGAAAAAGCGATGTGGGGTCAGAGGAGAGAAGGGAGGCAGGAGGCAGGGACATCAAAGCCTGCCCACTTGGAGGGAGCAGCAGCCTCTCGGTGGGAAAAGAGCCACTGGGAGCACACGGTTGGCTCTGGGTTGTTTAGTTTGGTGGACGATGGGTTAAAAATGTATGGACTAAGGCTAGCCCCAAATTCATCTCGTGACTGGGGATGGCAAGTCATTTGATTCCTACTGTACTTACTGGTAGGAGGAGGAGGAGGAGGAGGAGGAGAAGGAGAAACAGGAGGAGGAGGAGGAGGAGAAGAGGAGGAAGAAGAAGAAGAAGAAGAAGAAGAAGAAGAAGAAGAAGAAGAAGAAGAAGAAGAAGAAGAAGAAGAAGAAGAAGAAGAAGGGGAGGAGGAGGAGGAGGAGGAGGAGGAGGAGGAGGAGGGAGAAGGAGAAGAAGGTGGTGGAATTTCTCAAACTTTCCTCTATCATCATTCTGACTTTTCTTCCTAGTATGGGTGTCTAAGTTGGCACTCTTTTCCTCATCCCTCCTCTTCTTTTTTTAACCTTTTCTGTCATCTGTTTAGCTTACAAGCCAGGCCAGAAGACACTCTTCAATAGTTTAGACTCACTTTTGGCTAGATGCCTCCAAGATGCCACAAAGCTGTCCAAGCCCAACTAAAATCTAGTGAAAGACTTGGCACAGTCGTGCCACGATGCCCCTAAGGGCGGTGGGGGGGGGGAAGGAATGCTGTGCCCTCTGCCCCTCCTTGATCATTTACTACTGGAGATGATGTGTCAACATTTTCTTGGACGGAGTCCTTTTTCCCAACAGACGGAAGTGCTCTGTGTTTATAGCCTCCTCCGATAACAAGTGGCCTCAGGGCACCAAAGATTGTATATAAACATTAGCATTCTGGTTTGTTTCCCCCCTTCTCTGAGGAACCGCACATCCCCTCTACAACCGGCTTTTAATGGCGGTTCAGTATCCTGCACTGCTTCTTCCTGACGCCTTCCCGCTGCTTAGATGCTCAAGATAAATGGATGATATCCTGAGAAATGTTGCCACTGAAATATTCTTTTCCTGTTGCCTACTTTTTTTGTGCTTGAGCATTTCGGACCGTAAATGCACGACCATCACTTTTTAAATACATTAAAAAAAAAAAAAAAAACCCGAAGAGGGGAAAGCGATCGACGGCTGAATTTGAAGAAATGCAGATGCTCTTTTATTCGGTGAAAATAAAACATCCAGCTGGATCAGGGCCTCCGGAGAGAGATAGAGAAGAGGGGATTTTTGCAACTGAAATGGCTTTTAAGAAAGCAACTCTTCTGAACTCTATGGGACCCTGACTTACCACTCGAAGGGAACACGGTAATTAAGGTCATTCGCAATGATGATCATAAAGTGGGTCACCAGGGGACTGGATCTGATTTTGCAACTTTTTTTGTTCAGAGTCCAACCTGATTCAGATCGTGGCCGAGGTTTGTGGAAATGAGGAGGTTGGGCAGCTCAGAGAAAACCCCGGATAGCTGTGGTGGTTCTCAAGAACCAGAGTGGGCCACGCTTTGCCAACCGGTTAGAAGAGGCAGTGCAGAATTGTCACACATGCACAAACAGAGAAGAGCAGCCAACCAGCAACTTGTGCGCTCGGGAAAAAACTCTACCTGGAAAGCGGACAGATCCAGCAGAGCAAAGCTGTTGAAGAAGCGCAAACTCTGGAGAGCGACTTGCAGGGTGTTGGCTGTGAAGCTGTCTTTGGGATTGGCCGCATTCAGCTCCACGAAGGTGCCGTGGAAGAGAACGCAGTAGAGCATGTGCAAAACGCCCACCAGATCCGTAGCCTTGAAAGCCGCCGTCAGCCCGGTGGGATCCGGGTGGGTCTCGGCAAAGATGCTTCTGGACCTGTCAAAGAAAAGAGCGCAAGATCCGTTATTTATTTATTAAACTGATTACACCGCTCCGTTTCGCTATCCAAGCGCGGCTGTTGGTGATGGTCAAGCTTATGTCTCAAAAACACAACAGAGAGGTGAGAAGAAACAGTGGGGTCCAAAGCTGAATGAAGACATGCCAGCCGGATGTTTCTGCGCTAGAATTCCAGCCGTCGCAAGCAGCCTGGGCAAGAGTGAGGCTTCCTGGGAGTTCTAGTTCAGTAGCGCTCAGAGATAATTTGCCAAAATATTTATTTACTAAAATTGCCTGCACCCCTCCGCAAAAGGCAATTTTAGTAAATAAGCGAATTCTCTCTCTCTCTCTCTCTCTCTCTCTCTCTGCAGTCATGTGACCAGAGGGGGAGGGGGCATCAGTCAGAACTTCAGAACAAGACCCTAAGTACCAATGGGGAAGTCCGTTCTAACTTTGAGCGGTTGCTAAGCAACCGGTCGTAATTTGAGGACTAGCTGTAGGTCAGCTATGCTCACAATACAGGTAGTCCCCTATTTAGTGACCATTCAAAGTGCTGCTAAGTGTGAAAAGACGGTCCTAAGTTGCTTTTTTTCAGTGCCGTTGTAACTGCGAGCAGCTGCTGAACGAACCGTTGTAAATTGAGGACCACCTGAAATTCCGCCCGCAGTTTGCAGCAAGGGCTGAATGCGACTCTTGGGCAGCAGAAGGCAGCACCATCCGATCCCCAGCCGCGCCTTCCCTTTTATTGGCCACCAAGCAGCCAAACCAGACATTAACTTAATTACTGCAATAAAATGCAACACAAAGAAGTCTATATCCCTCGCTATCCTTTTGACCCGACCTTTCTTTTTCTCTTTGCTGTGCAAGGGGTGGGGGGGGGGAACCCGTCCCAGATTCCATCAACGGAGAGCCAACACTGTTCCACCTCTGGTTTCCTTCCTGGCAGGGGCTCAACCTGTAGGTATGTGAGTGCTTTGTAAGCCCCCGATTAGTGGGGTGAGCCTTTTCTGCCCCCTCGCCACTTCCCAAGGACCTATTTTATAGGCATCATCACAAAAGCGTTATCAGATTGGATTGTGAAACCATTTCAGAATGTTCCAGACTTTATCAATCCTTAGGCCGGGCTCAGGAAGAAATTATAAGCCGCCCAGGGCTGGCCTGCCTTGTATAATTCATCACATCTATTTTTTCTGTAATAAGAAACTGAATTCTTTTAACTTCACGGAGATTTGGGAAACGGTTTTCTGAAGGGGATGCAGGTTTAGCAACCCGGGGGCTAATCAGAAATGGTGAGAAGCTGCAAAACTCTTCTCGAAGGCTCCCAACACCGTTGCACGTGGAGGCAGCCAAAATTCTGATTTATTCTTTCAGCATTCGGTGGGTGCTTGGAGTTAAAAGAAGGCTGAAGCATACGTGGAAAAGAAGAGAAGCAGGAAGGACGTTTTTGAAGGGCGAGACTTATTTTGCATATCTACAGATGGATGGATGGATGGATGGATGGATGGATGGATGGAAGGAGATATAATTGTTCCAATGAGCTTAGAGCAGGGGTCCTCAACCGTGGCAACTTTAGCTGGCTGAGGAATTCTGGGAGCTAAAGTCCACAAGTCTTAAAGTTGCCCAGGTGGAGGAACCCTGGCTTAGAGCAGTGTTTCTCAACCTGAGCCATTTGAAAACGGGTGGACTTCAACTCCCAGAATTCTCCAGCCAGCATGCCATCTCAATTTCTGGGAGTTGCCGTCCCCAATTTCTGGGACTTGACGTCCACATCTTAAAGTTGCTGAGGTTGAGAGACCCTTGCTTAGGCATGGTTTTTCCCTGGGACATTTATAGCCTCGGCTTGCAACCTGTTCGAAGGGACTCACAACAGCTCCTCGCACATGTGACTATTGCAGCATTCATGTGACTAAAATTCAGGCGCTGGCATGTATTGAGAATGGTGGCAAAACCCCAGGGTCACATCCTGATCCCCGTTGGTGACCTTCCCAGCCGTCTTCGGACTTCAGCCATTCTGAGGCTGGCTGGGGAATTCTGGGAGTTGAAGTCCAGCCCTCTTCAAGTTGCCAAGGTTTCCAAATGCTGGCCCGGGGTCTTTGCTCCCCACCGTTTCTGTCTTGGCCAGGATGCCTGGGGCAGAGAGACACACGCCCAGGAGAGCTGAGTCTCTCCTAACCTTTCATTCCAGACATACCTTTCAAGGCAAATATTTCTACAGTGGCTTAAGGGGTCGGGTTTCAGGGCTAGGGGCCAGGAGACTGGCGCTTGCAAAAAAGGGGCATCGTCTGTGATAAACGACAGCCGCAACACTTGCCTGCCGTTGACAGTGAAACACAGTTGACACATCCCGTGCAAGACCGCGGTGGAGTTCTGCAACAAAGCCGCCGTTTTGGGTGTTTCGTCAATTGGGCCTTGGATGGAGAGGAAGCAGCAACTCAGCTTATCTATTAATCCAATGTTCACCATGTAGCTAGCAGAGGGAGAGAGGGAGGGAGAGGGAAAAAAGAGGAAAAAACAAATGCTATCAATGCAGACTGTATTCTTGTTCTATGGATCAATCTTGACCCATTCATAAATCATCCCCACCAACAACCTCATCACCACCACCACCACCTTCTTCTTCTTCTTCTTCTTCTTCTTCTTCTTCTTCTTCTTCTTCTTCTTCTTCTTCTTCTTCTTCTTCTTCTACTTCTTCTTCTTCTTCTTCTTCTTCGTCTTCTTCTTCTTCTTCTTCTTCTTCTTCTTCTTCTTCTTCTTCTTCTTCTTCTTCTTCTTCTTCTTCTTCTTCTTCTCCTCCTCCTCCTTCTCCTTCTTCTTTTTCTTCCTCCTCCTCCTTCTTTTCTTCTTCCTTTCTTCTTCTTCCTCTTCTTCTTCTTCTTCTTCTTCTTCTTCTTCTTCTTCTTCTTCTTCTTCTTCTTCTCCTCCTCCTCCTTCTCCTTCTTCTTTTTCTTCCTCCTCCTCCTTCTTCTTTTCTTCTTCCTTTCTTCTTCTTCCTCTTCTTCTTCTTCCTTTCTTTTTCTTCCTCCTCCTCCTCCTCCTCCTCCTCCTCCTCCTCCTCCTCCTCCTCCTCCTCCTCCTCTTCTTCTTCTTCTTCTTCTTCTTCTTCTTCTTCTTCTTCTTCTTCTTCATCATCATCATCCCAAATCAATCCATTGCTACATGAAGGCTTTATTTAAGGTAATGAACCATAATCAACCATGCTGGTCCAAACAACACTGACAGATAGAAGCTTTTCAAATTCTCAATGAAAGACGGCAACTGGCCCAAAAGTCACCCAGTCAGTTTCCCTGACTTAAGGAGGACTAGAACTCCCTAGTCTAGCATTTTAATGATTACCCCTGGCTCTCATTCATTCATTCATTCCCATGTGTGCATACAAACATATTTACAGTAATTTAGTTTAAGAGAATCAGTGTGCTATAATGGTGAAGGCACCAGGCTAGAAAGCAGGAGACAGGGAGTTCTAGTTCTACCTTAGGTACAAAAGCTGGCTGGGTGACTTTGGGCCAGTCTTTCTCGCTCAGCCCAACCCACCTCACAGGGTTGTCTTTGTGGGGAAAACAGGAAAAGAAAGGAGTATTAGGTACGTTCGCCACCTTGAGCTACTTATAAAAACAACAAAGGTGGGATGAAAAGATCTTTAAAACAGTGGTACTTTCCAAAAGAGTTGGGACAACAACTCAAGAATACAAAAACAGGATGACCAATGGAATTCTGGACACTGTAGTCCCAACCTTTTTGGGTGGCAGAAGCAAGGTTGGAAAATTAGAACATCTGATCGGACTCTTACCTGATAAGGTCTTGTATCCTGTTGTTAAAAACTTCAGCTTGGGAGGTCTTGTTTTTCATTTCTTGAATCAATTTTGGCGCACAAATTTGGTTATTAGTGTTAGGTACGTCGGACATCAGAGAGCCAAACACCACAGCCAGGATCCTGAGCACTCCCGTTATTAGACCTTCAAAGACTTGCTTGTTAATTGCTCTCCCTGAGGTTGCATTGTGATCATCTGGGATGTATACCTAGACACAAGCACAATGCAACGCAGAATAAATACACCCCAAAGTAGGTATCATACTCTCCATTGTTTTGCCAGCAAATTAGACCTCATCCTTAAATTATAACTTTCAAAACAACAAAGCATTTTGTTCCCCGCTATTTAGTTTTGGCTTTTGATAGTTAAAATATCCTTTGCTTAATAAAGGTTATCTGAACGTTATCTGCTCTTTGCAGTCTTTTTGTTTATCCCGTGTTCTGCGATTAAGCTAAATTAGCTTGACTTGACTCTTAACAATTCTCTCTAGGTGTACGGGTTACACCTAGAAGCAATTCAGCTCACAGGTGATCAGGAGAGGGCTACAAACTTTGATGCAAAATTTCTCTTTAAGCTGATCTTATGGAATGGGATCTGTTCGAATTCATGTTCTTGGATGAATAAGATGGGGAATTTTCTTGTGTTTCCAAGTACCTTATTTTAACAGTTCCTACTCAATGTCTGCATTCAATTAAATGCGCTGAGAGGGCATCTTATTGACTCGCTTCCAAAGATGCTCAAGGATTAAATCAATCCAAGAAATAATAATAATAATAATAATAATAATAATAATAATAATAATAATAATAATACTACAAAAAGGCATTTGACTCTCTGCCACATGATTGGATAATAAAGTGCCTAGAAATAACAGGAGTCAGTAGAAACATCAGAAAATTTGTGCAAAGATCGATGGCACAATGGAAGACACAGTTGCAGATCAATGGTGAGAGGCTGGGAGAGGTTAATATCAAGAGAGGAATATTTCAAGGAGATTCATTATCACCATTACTATTTGTTATTGCACTGTTTCCTCTGTCAACAATACTGAATAACTCAGGACATGGCTATCAAACATCAAAAACATCTGCCAGACTATCCCACCTCCTTTATATGGATGATCTGAAGCTGTATGGAAAAACATCATCTGAAATAGAATCGCTGCTCAACACTGTCCGTATATATAGCCAAGATATTGTAATGGAGTTTGGCTTGGACAAATGTGCCACACTTACTATCAAACAAGGAAAAATAATGAAAACTGAAGGAATCAAGATGCCCCACGAAAATAACATTAAGAGTCTGGATGAGGAAGAGTACTACAAATACTTGGGTATCCTTCAAGCTGACAACATCAAGCACACTGAAGTCAAGAAAAAGATTAGAGGTGAATACATCAAGAGAGTGAAGAAGATCTTAAAATCCAAACTCAATGGAGGAAATACCATAAAGGCAATCAACACCTGGGCAATCCCAGTCATTAGGTACACAGCTGGAATAGTGGACTGGACTCAAGCAGAACTAAAAGCAATGGATAGGCAGACCAGAAAAATAATGACAATGAATCATGCCCTTCATCCACGCAGTGACATTGATAGACTTTATCTACCAAGGCAAATAGGTGGGCGTGGAATGCTACAAGTACATCAGATGGTTGAAGAAGAAAAAATGGCTTTGGAAGAATATCTGAAGAACAATGATGAAGATGCACTGAAATTAGTATATCAGGAAGGCTTACTAACTACTGGAGAGACCAAACTGGCCTACAAGAAAGACCAAATGAAGAACAGAATAGAGGCATGGGAAGACAAAGCACTACATGGCCAATACATGAAAAAAATAGCTGGGAAAGCAGATAATAATAAAACCTGGCAATGGCTAAGAGCAGGAAAATTGAAGAAAGAGACCGAGGGACTAATTCTGGCTGCACAAGACCAAGCCTTAAGGACAAATGCATACAAAGTCAAAATTGAGAAGACAGCAACAGACAGTAAGTGCCGCCTATGCAAAGAAGCTGAAGAAACAGTGGACCACTTGGTAAGCTGTTGCAAGAAGATTGCACAAACTGATTACAAGCAGCGGCATGACAAAGTAGCAACAATGGTGCATTGGAAGATCTGCAAAAAATATCATTTGCCTGTAAGCAAAAACTGGTGGGATCATAAAATAGAGAAAGTCATAGAAAATGATAAAATTAAACTGCTCTGGGACTTCAGAATTCAAACAGACAAGCACCTGCAACATAACACCCCAGACTTAACAATTGTCGATAAGAAAGACAAAAAAGTCTGGATAGTGGACGTGGCAGTGCCTGGAGATAGCAGAATAGAAGAGAAAGAACTGGAGAAGATAACAAAATACAAAGACCTACAAATAGAAATAGAAAGACTGTGGCAAAAGCAAGCAAGGGTAGTACCAATAGTCATAGGCTCCTTGGGTGCAATCCCAAAACAACTGGAGCACCACTTGAACACCATTGGCATTGACAAATTCGCTATTAGTCAATTGCAAAAGGCGGCCTTATTAGGAACTGCTTCCATCCTGCGACGATATCTGTAATACCATCAAACATCCACATCTGCCTATCCCAGGTCCTGGGTAAGGACTCGATAGGTAGACAAAATGCCAAATCCAGTCTGAACATCTGGCTGACTGTGCGATGATCCATAATAATAATAATCAGGATTAAAGTCAGGATTCATTTTTCCCTCTCTTCAGGTTGGTTGGCCTTCCCTCTTAGAAAAGGTTAATCCTCAACTTATGACCACAACCCGAAATTTCTGTTGGTAAATGAGACAGGGGATAAGTGTGCTTTGCCCCATTTTACCACCTTTCATGCCACAGTTGTCAAGTGAAGCTTGGCTTCCTCCATTGACTTGGCTTGTCAGAAGGTTGCAAAAGGGGATCACAGGATCCCGGGACACATATACATGAGTCAGTTGCCAAGTGCCTGGATTCTGATCACGTGACCCTGGGGATGCTGCAATGGGGGCTAAGTGTGAAAGGTGGTCATAGGTCACTTTTTTCAGTGCCGTTGTAACTTGGAACGGTCACTAAACAAGCGGTTGTTAGGTCAAGGACTGCCTGCATTCTCTTCAACCTGGCTTATTCAGTATTGCTTTGGTTATGAAATGGGCAGTGAGGCTTTTTAGGCGTGGCTGAAGTTCTGGAAAGGGTTTCTTCAAATGGAGCTGTCCAGCTAGAAGTTGCTGCTGAGCGAGAATAATTTTTGCACAATACTGGAAGAATGAAGGATTGCCATCAGAGGAAGAAATAATCACGAAAATATTGGAATGTGCAGAGATGGACAGACTAACTAAGACAAAGAAGATACGGACTACTGTCAGATTTGGAATTTATTTTATTCTTGGTTAGAGAAAAGAGTGAAGGATTAGGAATTGAACATGTATTAGCTTAGCAAACTCCAGACAAGTTGTTGATTGGAAAAATTAACATATGTTGATGGGAAAAAAAATAATAAAAAAAAGATTGATAAAAAAAATAGAAGTTGCTGCTGAATCTAGACTTAGATTAGAAGCCTAATTCTACTATTGAGGGACGTTAAGCCTAGACCTTCGAGGGTGTTAAGCCTAGATTTTTAGGTTAGATCTGCTCATGTTGAGCGTAGAGGAACCATGGTTTGGAAAATCAGTTGCCATATGATTGGCATGGCTTAAGTATGAAAAAACAGGAGGCACATCCTAAGTAGAGTGCTATGGAACAGGTTCAACGTTATTCTCTTAAATTTGGGCTCATAATTTGAAGACGGGCCCAGTCATGCCTTTTGTTAAGCAAAATGTCCTGAGCATCCTGGCTGTTTATCCAGCTTTGGTTTCAGAAGAACAGAAGGAAAGATTTGGAAGGGGCTTTCCAGGTCTTCTAGTCCAAACTCTTGCTTAAGTAGGGGGACCCTATCACCATTTCAGGCAAATGGCTGTCCAATCTCTTCTTGAAAACCTCCAGTGTTGGAGCATCTACAATTTCTGGGGACAAGTTGTTCCACGGATTAATTGTTCTCACAGTCAGGAAACTTCTCCTTCTCCTCCTGGCTCAACCAGTGGAAAGAGACCGAGGAGAGATGAACAGGAAAGATGTACTTCAGTGATACTTTGATTCCAAAAACAAAACAAACCAAAAAAACAATTTTGCATCCTAAAATTGGCGATGGCCTCGGTGGATTTAGAAGGGGACAAATGAATTCAGTGGCCTTTTCAACGGCAACTAAACATGGCAGCTAAACAGAAGTTGTATGCCACTGAATGTTTATTATTTTTGGTCCTAGCTTCACACCCTTTATAATGTTGACCTGCCTGCCTGTGTTTTTTTGGAATGTGATCTCCCACATGACTCTTAGAGCCCAGGGATCTCCCTCTGAGAAATGCAGTACACCTGGGGTTCTCTAATAGGTGGGAATGTCCTTTGCCATTCTCATGATGATTGCTTTAATATCATTTCCTGACAGTCTGATGTACGTTAAAACAGTGATTATACTAATCAGGAAAAATAAATAATGTCTCAGCTTTAGGCTCTCCATTAATCTAAAGTAGGTGGTCCAACCAGGAACGACGCAGGGGAACTGTCACAGGGGGCATCCGGGACACATAACTTTGCATTTTCAACTCAAACCTGATCGAAAAAAAGCCAATTTCACCACGATTTCACCAGGAAACCCGTCTCTGTTTTAACTGCACAAGAGTGAGCTGGATCGTAAAATGCAGCTGTTGCGTAGTTAGCACTGTATCCCTCTCGAGGGAATAGGGTAACACTCAGAGACAAAAAAACAAACAACATGCGCGTATTTTTACATTATTGATTAGCTCTGTGCCTGGAGTTAGTACTTAAAATTCACTGTCATTGTCTGTTCCTGGGGACGAGCCAAGTTGGGAAGTGAGAAGAAGACTTTGGCGCCTCGCAGGGAGAATGAACATACTCCTTACGTACAGGGATGCCGAACTGCGGAGCAGGCAAGCTGAAACTACCTGAAAACTTAGAAGGAGATCTGGTTACTTCCAGTTAATTTAGACAAAGTGGAGCAATTCCTGATGGGTGACTTGGATTGTCTAGTCCAGCGGTTCTCAACCTGTGGGTCGGGACCCCATTTGGGGTCGAACAACCATTTCACGGGGGTCGCCAAACAACACAGTCCGCCATTTTCCCCCCCCCTTTTCCTTAGCTGTGCTACTCCCTTTTATTCTATTGGCTTTTGAA